AGTCACCCACCTTGTCATGCCACACAAAAGAGTCCACGCATGCCTGACACATTTCCAATAACACAAGGCATTGTACAGTGAGGGGAATTGATCACAATTGGAGTAGCTGTGCATGACAGCCAATCAGCGTCTGTCTTTCATTGTCAAAGCTTAAACAGACCAGCTGAAGATAGAAGCTGATTGGTTGCCTTGTACAGCAGCTCCAGATTTGAGAAATTGGAGTCATTATTTATCAAAACCCTCTCCCTTTAGATTGTAAGCTCCATGAGCAGGGCCCTCTTATTCCTTCTGTATTGTAATTGTACTGTTTCCCTTTATATTGTAAAAGACTGCGCAAACTGTTGGCGCTATATAAATCCTGTATAATAATTTGAACATTGGAGTGAGGATCTATGATCAGCGTGCTGCAGGGCTCTTTCACACCAGATCAATGCAAGGAAACCTAGAAAACAATTATATATATTTTTTTTAATGTCTCCTCTCACTGTAATGCTGTGTTGGGTTGCTGTGTGTTGTGTAAAAATGCTGCAACTTCTGCAATTATATATGGTGCAGCTCACCTCATCTATGTTCCCTTGCATTCATCTATGGTGTGAAAGAGCCCTGCAGCACCCTGATCATAGATCCTAACTCCAGTGTTCAAATTATTATTATACAGGTTTTATATAGTGCCAACAGTTAACACAGTGCTTTTCAATATAAAGGGAGACCGTACAATTACAATACAGAAGGATTAGGGCTCTGTTCACACCTACGCAGTTTGCTTTGTGTCTGTTTTGCAGTGCTTATCGCAGCTTGCGTTTTTCTACAAGCGTTTTTTTACTGCATTTTGTTCAGCTTTTTTGTTTTTAACCGTTTTCCGTCTGCCCTATAGCAGACATACTGCTACACGGCAGCACAGGTGCGCAAAATCACGTGTGTATATGTGATTTTTGTATTTTCAGGTAGGGGGCGTGCACCCTACCTGAGCCACCAAACAAGAGATACCTGTGCTCAAATCCCAACAGCTAGTGCATGCATGTATCCATCAGGTGCTATGTTAGCATTGTGTCCACAGTAGCATAGGCAGGGCAGAGTAGGACTGGCCATAGAGGGATTACTTTGACGCAGTTGGCCAGCTTAAGCATGTATTGCGATATGTGTGAACTAAATATCCCTATTTATTGCATAGTCTGCTTGAAAGGGTATATACCAGTGTGCAAAGGGGCCTTCAGAATTTCTACCTGTTCCACTATTCGCGGCCTCGGCTGTTAATCACTGGGTCCCTGACAGTGATTACTCGCTGGCACCCGGTGATCGTCGAGTAATATTGATGGAGGGAGAGAACTGTATGTAAACAATACAGTTCTCTCCCCTGTCAGCTCCCGCACACTGCTTTGTATGGCTCTGCTATGCAGAGCCATACAAAGCAGTGTGCTTACAGTAAAGCACAAACACAGCACATAATGTGAAACCGCACACAGTGAACCTTTTGATCGCCTCAGATGTTAACCCCTTCCTGCCCAGTGCCATTAGTACAGCGTCAGTGCTTTTTGATAGCACTGATCACTGTTATGTTGTCACTGGGGATGTCAGTGACACCAAATCAGTTTCCTCCAGTGTCAGAATGCCTGTTATAAGTAGCTGATCACTCCCATTACTAGTAAAAAAAAATAAAAAATTCCAGTATATGTGACAGCATTTGTAAATGCTATAACTTTCACGTAAACCAATTAATTTACATGTATTGGGATTTGCTTTTAGCAAAGACATATAACAGACAATAACATTTTGGCCTAAATTTATGATGAAATTTGATTTTTAATTTTCTTTTTACTTGTCAAGTTTATTAGCAAAAAGTCAAAAATATTGTTTTCTTTTTCTCAAAATTGTCGGTCTTTTTTTTTTTTTTTTTTTAGCGCAAAAAATAAATAACACACAGGTGATCAAATACCAAAAGAAAGTTCTCTTCGTGGGATAAAAAGGACGTAAATTTAATTTGGGTGCAGCATTGCTTGACCGCACAATTTTTAGTTTAAATAACGCAGCGCCGTATCGCAAAAAATGGCCTGGTCAGGAAGGGGGGTAAATCCTCTGGAGGGCAAGTGTGATTTTTTTTTTTTTTTTTTTTTTTTTTTTTTTTTCTTTCCCGCTGGGCAGAATAAAAATGCAAAACCGCACTGTCATGCATTTCCGCAGATTCTCCATTGAGCTCTGTTGTAGCTGCCTTTTACTATTAAAAAAAGTCCCTGATGCTTTCCAAAAACAAAGCAGCTCAAAAAAGCATAGATGTGAACATATTCCATAGGAAACCGTGTTAAATGGACTGTAGTGTGTTTCTGGGAAAAAGCACTAAAAGAGGCATTGGTGTGAATGGAGCCTTAGAGGACCTTGCTCATGAAGCTTACAATCTAAAGTGAGGGAGGTTTGATAAATATTGACTCCAATTTCTCAAATCTGGAACTGCTGTACAAGGCAACCAATCAGTTTCTATCTTCAGCTTGTCTGTTTAAGCTTTGACAATGAAAGGCAGAAGCTGATTGGCTGTCATGCACCGCCAATCAGCTTCTGGCTTCAGCAAAAATGCTGCAATTGTATATGGTGCAGCTCACCTCATCACATGTCACTTCAGCGTGTTGCAAAGCGTTGTGTGGTGCATATACCTAAATGAAGAGTCCATTCTGGATAGTTCAGCAAAGTGATGAAAAGAAAAACTAAATCGTTTGATATGTTGCCATGATGCATTACACCGCCCCCCCACAATGTAAATCCGCCTGCTTTAACATGAAGGGCTTGTGTGAACGAACTGTGCTCCTTTTTTTTTTTTTTTTTCCCCTTTCCTTTGCACGCAGTGCAGCTTACCTTACTGCAGTGTGTTTGCAACATGTGTTTAGAGTCAATTCACACTATATGCGGTGACAGACGTTTTTACTGCACGGTAAAACATCTGGCACAGCAGGGACACACGGGAAACAGTTGTTTCCTATGTGTCCCATTCATACTGCAATGCAGCCTAGTGCTGTGCGAAAATGTCCAAATTGCACTGCAGTGTCAGACAGCGCAGTGGATTGCACCACCTGACAGTGAATGAAGTGTATGTTTTGTACACTTCAAATAGAGCTGGTACAAAACAAATAAAAAAAAGAGATGGTGCGGTATACTGAATCGTACACCACACTGCGCCCTAGCTAGCTGGCCAGCTGAATCACTCCGGCTGCTCTGCGATTTCCTGACAATCAGTGTTAATTCGCCCTTAGACTTGAATGAATTGTGACACGTGGCTAAAGTTAAGGGTGAATTCACAGTTACTTGCGCTAAAATGAATGAAAAATTCATCTGCATTTCCACGCATTTTAGTCATGTTTTAATGCTTGTTGACTTGCGTTGATGCACGTTTTGAGATGCATTGACACGATTTTTAGCAAGCCTTAAAATGTACTGCATTTTGCAAGACTTCTTGTGACATATCATCTTTTGGGTCACAAAATAAATCACAAAGCAAACTTTTTTTTTTTTATTTGCATTGCATTGACCTGTATTGCGTTGTGTTAAAATGCATACTTACTGGTTAGTGCAGCATTGCTGTGTGAACAGGACACATAAGAAACAAGTGTTATTTAGATGTCTTTGCGTTGACCTGCATTTTACAGCTGCGCTAAAATGCGGATTAACGTGCTAGTGTGAATTGGCCCTAAAAGTAAACCGTGCAATGTATTGTAACAACACATCTCTGTACAATGGACACCAGCACTGTTCTAGACTTCAGGCTGTTGTGAATGAGCCCTTCAAGCAGAACTTAATGCACTGAACTTACCTTCTTTCTAATGGTCTGGATCCCTCACTGGCCTTGACAACTTCCCCTGTATACCTGTATACCAGTCGTCGGACATCTCCATTGGCCAGCGCAGCATGATGTAACTCCTGTGCATGCGCCAGAGATAATCAATCTGGCACACAGGGACTGTGCTGGTGATGTAAGCTGAGCTGCACATGCACAGCTCAGTTTACCTGCCACAGAAGACTGTAAGCAGTGCATGTCTCTTCTGCAATACTAGCCTGCTTGCTCCCAGGCCTTTGTTAAATGCCTTCAGTTCTGCTTTATAGCTAAATTCCAGGTATGGATTCTATTTCACAGTTACTTTGGTCCAGCTTGGACCAATGTAAGTATACATATATCATACCTGTGGGACCGCTGTGGAAGCAGAAAATCACTGTAGTAGTCATTGTCTTCCATGAGTAGTGCTGACCAGCTGCTTTGCTGCATAGTAACCACAGGGGGTCACTTGCATGGCAAAGGTGCGGCATCTACTACAGCGAATCTTGACATCCACACGGATCCCACAGGCGCGGCATATGTATACTTGCATTGGAATGGGTGCCATTCATTGAACATTTTGAATTTTTTTTTTTCTCCAAATGAATGCAAGACATTCTATGTTTAGACTAGTGTAGAGGTGGTTGATGGTTTTGTTTTGCATTCACATTTGTGTGTTTTCATGTACTATAGCACATGTGTGGGTTTTTTAATACCAGAATGAATAGCAGTGCATAACTACAGTGTTGGTATGCATTGTGGGTGTTAATGTGTATTATCACGTAAGCTACGGTATGATTGAGGAAACTTGTGAAAAGAATAAAGCCCATACACTTTTCTATGCTGTCCAAGGTGCCGTTATATAACATGGTTACAAGCAAAGCCCGTTATAAAGTGTCTAAAGGAGGATCCGTCTGTCAAAATTCTGCCTTTCATGTATTCATCTGAACAACATTGAAAATAGAAATCAGATGTATTCATGTATGTAACAAACTTCACTCCTAGACATTTTCAAACTTTAGATCTAGCATAGGTAACAGGAAAAAAATATGTTGTCACATGTTTGCCTATGAGAAGTGTTTTTTGTTTTCTAAAAAAAAATAAGATTATGCTAATATGTCTTTTCTAAATGTGTCATTTTTGTTTTCCTCTAAAATGTCATATAGGCTAATATGCCTTTTTATGTGTTCTAGTAGTGACTAGTGCCATGGTAATGAAGGCTTCCATGGAAGATGATGATTCAGGATGGGAACTTTCCATGCAGGACAAGATGGGGAAGAGCAATGCCAACTGGATAGACATCACTCAGGAATTCAGAGATGCTTGTAGTGGTAATTGTAGTCCTATATATATTTTGACAGCGACAGTCCCTGCCACTATATAAATTAGTTCAAAAAGGACACAGGACTCTCATGCAGTCAGTTTGAGAAGCAACAGCAGATGTTTTATGAACACAGAAAACTGTGTCTTAAGTTTTTTTCTCTGGATTTGGTAATTCCAAATCGGGGCTGGAAGCTTGAAGGTTCCAAAGAGTATTGAGTGGGACGGACCCCTCAGTCCTGTGTCCAAGCTTTGCTAGTTGCATACAGCCTGTGTGAGTCCACAGGTGGTCAGGATTGTTATACAAGATCTGAGCATAGCTCAGGACAGTTGCTGCTGTTTGGAGACAGCCCAGCTAGGAGAGCTGGGAGTTCCTGTTGGAGTCTGCAACCCTTGTGAGGAGGGTTCATTACCCAAGATTTGGGAAAGACTGGCCAGTTACAAGAAGTTAGCGGGTCCTGGGTGCTGGAGGGAATCCGGAAGTCTCTGGAGGGAGAAAGCTTGAGGTGCTGTAAAAACCCTCTCTCAAGAAACCATGTGGGGACTGAACAGCAAGGTGCAGTCACCTAGGTTGGGGGAGCCTGAATAGCCAGCGGTCTAGAAATCCAAACAGAGCAGAGGCACTGCTGACCAGAGAGCCAGAAGGCTTTTAATTTTCATGTAATAAAGGTGGGCTACCAGGCCCTTAAATAGTGTTTTTTTTTTTTTTTTTTTTTTTTTTTTGTGATGCAGACTGTACAACTGCTCCTACCATGAGAGCTTAACACCCCCAATTCATAATATTTAAAAAAAAAAAAATTTAAGTTGACGAAAAAAAAGAAACCCAACAGTATGTATACGGTTTCCAGTTTCTACATGTCTCTTTGTTTCCAGCCATTAGCTGCATATTCTGCCTGCTGTATATGCAGCAAAAACAGCAGCTCCTGTAACACCCTGTGATATTGGCTATCAATTGACCGCTTAGGCCTGCACACTAAGCTGGCAGAGTGGCTATCCCATGTATTGTGCAGATTTGAGGTGTTCTTTTGACAGCCGCCTGCAGTGAGCCTCTGTCAGGTTAACAAGTGGGAGGAGATCAGTGAATGGCACAGCACTGCTCTCCTTTGCACACAGAATCTGCAAGTGCCCAGTGCTGTGCACTCCCAGGTTCTGCACTTTAGCATGTGGTGGTGCCCTGAATCAGCTCTAATGCAAATCAGGAATTCTATCTCCTATCTGTATATGCAGGACCCAGAGGAGGCACCAGACCTCTTAACAGACCTTTTGTCTATAGTGAAAAAATTAAAGTTATGTGACAGGCCTTTTTCCAATCACAGACTGTTTTCAATGTTATGGAGAGAACAGTCCAATGGACATTAAAGGTTGCACATTATGACCTGCATTTTATTACTGAGTGATAAAATGCAATTATAGGGTAGAGTAAACACTGTAGTTTCTATCAGAAATTGGTGATTGCTCTGCATTATAAATAGGCACTTTGATTTAAAAAAAAAAAAAAAAAAAAAAAAAAAAATTCCTGTAATGCCTGCTCAGTCGTATAGTGAGTAATTGAATGAAATGTTATTGCCAGAATTCATCTGTCTTTTTAATGTATTAAGTTGTGCTTTTTTTTTATATAAATAGTATGTACAGATGTACTGGAGGATGTGTGCAACGTAAACTAGATCTTCCTTTCATTTACAGAATTGAAACTGGGAGAACTCCTTCATGACAAACTGTAAGTATGGCCACTATGTAGTCTTTTTAATCCTTTTGTTGCCACCAATGTAAAGCGTACATCGCTGGCAGCAGCAACTTTCACACACAATCCCAGTGGCAATAGCTGCTGGGAATGTGTGTGTATTTCACAAGCCTACTGTCAGCTTTCTCCTGGAAGTTTTTCTTCTAAGTTTTTGACAGCCATTGTAATCCTTCCCCACTCTATCAGATTTGTGGTGCTACCCAAGACTACAATAAGTTATACAGTCTGAATGTACAATCTCCTTTTTAGATCTGCCATCAACTATGTAGTACAAGGGCATACTTGATTGGATACAAATTAAATGTATATTTAGGTGTTTCCTTTATATTACATAGTTTTAGTAAATCACAAGAGAGATTGCCAGCGTTAGAGAGATGTCCACTGTACTTTATTGTCCACTGTACTTTATTTTCCTGCTGACAACGTTTTAACTGATGGGAAGTCAAGGGAAGTTCAACAGCAACACAATCATACCAAATGTTTGGGTTTTTTTTGTAGGGAAAAGCTAGAACCCCTGTCTGATTTTTTTATTTCTGTCTTTGTCACTGTTGCAGATTTTCAGCAGGATAGAAAGAGGGTAAATCTCCCTAATGGAGCCGCAAATGGCAACAAAAAACTGACATTATTTCTAATCCTTCCCAACTGTACTCAAAACTGGAACCAATGTTTTTGGGTTGACATAAACATTAACACCTTTTCTTTGCTTTTCCACCACCCTGTTTAGCTGTCAAAAACAAATTTGCAGTATATATTATGAGGTCACAAGGAGTGGGTAAGAAGTCCATAGCCTTGTGTAACATGTTGGTTTGGCGCTTTATACAGGGCTGTCTTTCCCATGTCACAACAGCCAGTGGGAAGGTGCAGAAGCAAGGAAAGGTGGGTATATGCTAGTGGGGAAGTGATCCTTTTACTTGACTATGCATGATCAAAGAAAAGGTTCACATTAATATGTGCCTTTTATTTTAATGTGACTTTGCAGAGTAGAGTTTATATTCTTTAATACAAGTCTTTTATTTGCCATGCATGAGCAAAACACTGGTTTGCTTCAGGGCTCTTTTAAAAATTGTGACTGGTAACATTTTTTTATTGGACTTTCAGCTTTGGCCTGTTTGAGGCTATGTCAGCTATTGAGATGATGGATCCTAAAATGGACGCTGGGATGATTGGCAATCAGGTTAATCGCAAAATTTTAAACTTTGAACAAGCAATAAAGGTTAGTTGCAGCTCTCTAGAAAACATTTTCAGAATTACATATATTGTAGTTTCTAATTTTGTTATTATTTAGTGGACTTGAAAGAAAATTATGATTTTGTTAAATACTCAAAGGTTTAACCAGTGGATATATTTTTTTCACTATGTATGAACCACTACCGTCATTTGTTTTTTATAATGTTTTTTTTTTCTTTTTAATTTTAAGGATGGCACAATTAAAATTAAAGATTTAACTTGGCCTGAACTGATAGGAATTATGGACACTTGTTTTTGTTGTTTGGTGAGTTTTAGTTTCAGTACTATAGGTGAAATAAATTGTTGTGCTTATACATGTGTTGTGGTAATGTTTCTGTTAATATAACAGCGTGAATGGGTACTAAGGGGTTAGCCTATTCAAAACTGATGCTTTCATAGTTGGTGGATACGGGAGCGTACGTTGACCTAATGATGGTTTTTTTTTTTTTATTATGCCACTGGGACTCTGAGTGATGAGAGCCAAGAACATTAGTTCCTGCATCTCCACACCTCCAAAGATAATAATAAGAGACCCGCCTCTACCTTTTTAATATGTGTATGTTTTATATATTGTGTGTGACATTTGTCCAACAAATGTTTTATAAATGGACCCTTTAAATTGTCCCTGTGCCGGAGATACCTATAACACAGACCAGTCACTGTTGCTCTTTGTGCTTGTGAAGGGTGACTTGTCTTGTATCTGCCCCCCCCCCCACTGTAGTTTTCTGTGGGTGGACCTGTGGTGTCCCGGCTACACTGCTCTGCTGTCTGCGGAGGCTATGTGCCTCCCATTTATGATGTTGTTGCTACTTTGCATGGTAATATTAAGCTTTCATGCAAACTGGTTTTATAAATCTTTTTTCAGCTACTGGGGAATATATTTTATTGAAAGTATGTGTGTCCGGAGTTCAACTTTAATAATCCATTTATATGTCCCCAAAATGTTTTTATTTCTGCAGATTACCTGGTTAGAAGGTCATTCATTGGCACAGACCGTTTTCACTTGCCTATATGTTCATAATCCAGATCTTATAGAAGACCCGGCTATGAAAGCATTTGCACTAGGAATCCTTAAAATATGTGATATTGCCAGAGAAAAAGTGAACAAGGCTGCTGTATTTGAAGAGGTACATCATCTTTAAGCCAAATAATCAGTGTATCATGAAGGAGCTTCAGTTTTGTAAATCTTTTTTTTATCTTTTAGGAAGACTTTCAGTCCATGACATATGGATTTAAAATGGCCAACAGTGTGACAGATCTCAGAGTAACAGGTGATATATATTTTTTGGTTTACGTACTGTATGCACAATACTTTCTTCCCACACCATTGATGACTCTGGAATTGCATCTTTAGGAATGTTAAAAGATGTTGAAGATGACTTACAGAGGAGAGTAAAGGTATGTTTGACATGCATGAATTCTATTTCTAGAATTGGAGGAACCATAAGCTGGCATTACAAATGTGGTGTCCGAAAGAACAAGCCTCATGGGCAATTACATAACTGCTTGTCTAGTGAGGAATGTAGATTATCTCTGATTGTATAAAGACACCTTTTACAATTGTACAGTAAATTTGTTCTGTTTCACTCTCGTTTCTGCCTGCCAGCTACTCCACAGACATTTGTGGGTATCGGTTTGGTAGCTGAAGCAGAGCTCTATTGCTTTTGCCCTTTCTCCTGGGAACTCACCTGCCTTTTCAGTGAGTGTGGGGTTTTTTTCCCAGGAGTCTCCTAACTTTTCCTCTCCCCTTGCATGCTTGGTGACGGCGCTTGTTTTGGGCAATATGTGGTGCAATGGACAAGAGCTGTCAGTCAAAACTCAGTAGCTGTTTGTACTGAGCAGCGTGGTCAAACGGGAAGTGGGGGACATACCGTTGACCATGCTAGCTCAGCATCCACACCATCTATAATAATGTGACAAAAAGAGCTACATGCACTTTCTCTCCTGTGGGACAGAAGGAAAGTCTTAAAATCATTTTGGTGAGACTGCTTTAAACCTGTAGATGCAGATGTACAATTAAAGTGGGAGTCAAGCAAAAACTTTTATTCCTCATTTGGGATAGGATCAGAAGGGGTTAGAACATCTGTGTGTGAACAAATTGGGGGAAATAGCTATGTCCTTATGACTACTCTCTTCAGAACAGAAATTGCGGGAAAATATAAAATAGCATCACTAAAACAAGGGTAGAGGGGAAATCTCTCATGGTGGACACCTGTTCCATTAACAGCTGTATACAATGGGATTTCATCTCAGAAGGTGAAATGACATATCCTTTACTGCAGTGGTTCTCAACCTTTCTAATGCCGCGACCCCTTAATACAGTTCCTCATGTTGTGGTGACCCCCAACCATAAAATTATTTTCGTTGCTACTTCATAACTGTAATTTTGCAGTGGGAGGACTAGCGCCCCATCACTGATGTCAGTGGGATGAATAGTGTCCCATCGTTGGTATCAGTGGGAGGAATAGTGTCCCATCGTTGGTGTCAGTGGGATGAATAGTGTCCCATCATTGGTGTCAGTGGGAGGAATAGTGCCCCATCATTGGTATCAGTGGGGGGAATAGTGCCCCATCATTGGTATCAGTGGAAGGAATAGTGCCCCATCATTGGTATCAGTGGAAGGAATAGTGCCCCATCATTGGTATCAGTGGAAGGAATAGTGCCCCATCATTGGTATCAGAGGAAGGAATAGTGCCCCATCATTGGTGTCAGTGGGAGGAATAGTGCTCCATCATTGGTATCAGTGGGAGGAATAGTGCTCCATCATTGGTATCAATGGGAGGAATAGTGCCCCATCGTTGGTGTCAGTGGGGGGAGGAATAGTGTCTCATCGTTGGTGTCAGTGGGGGGAGGAATAGTGTCTCATCGTTGGTGTCAGTGGGGGGAGGAATAGTGCCCCATCGTTGGTATTAGTGACACAAATGATGGGGCACTATCCCTCCCACTGACACCAATGATACTTACCTTGCTGACCCCTGCTCCAGCCTGGGCTCGCTCTCTCCCTCTCCCATCTACAGCCTGCATACCTGGCTGCAGCAGCAAAATTTGCACTTACCTGTCAGCTGTCTTCCTTCTCTGGCCTCTCTCTTCACTCGCTCCTGCAGCTCCCTCGATCTTCTTCGATCTCCGCGCGCGCTGCCGCTCGGCTCCTCCTCTCCAAGCTCCACCTCCTCGCCGGTGATTGGCCGCCTGTGTGCCTCTCCTGAGCTACAGTTCCGGTGGCCAATCGGCGGCGAGGAGGCGGTGACAGGGGCAGCATATCATCCCGCCCACACATCGCCGGAGACAGGAGCGGTGTCTCGGTTCCTAAGACCATCGGAAATATGTGTTTTCCAATGGTCTTAGGCGACCCCTGGGAAATGGTCGTTCGACCCCCAGGTTGAGAACCGCTGCTTTACTGGGACATGGACAGCAGTAATATCGCTACAGCCATTCTAACTTTTCCTTTCAATAGCCAAGATTACCAAAAATGGTTTAGCTGGATTTCCACTGACAAACTAGGACCTTACTCATTTCATTAGTCCCTATTCTTAGACTGAGTGGACATACTACAACATTGCTTTTGCCATGAATTTCTTCCTATTGAAGAAGAATGGGCTTCATGTGTGAACATGTCTTCCAATTTGCGTATTCACGACCATGTTCTACTATGACATGGAAAATAATAAAAGCGTCAGATGACAGTTCATTTTTGTATTTTTCTGTTTAGACATATACATATATGAAATGTTGATTTACATTTCATAAATGTCTGTCGCAGGGCAGTGCCTTTCCCCTGCTGCCTTATACTTATTTCTTTAGTATTTGGTAACTAAAACTTGAACACTATGACATACTATTGTTGGTAGTGTATGAACTGCCAAAATGAAGTTGTAATCTTAAAGGATAAGTTCACCTTTTGAGAACTTGTTCCATGTTCCACCCATTTTTAGTGTGGAACATGTAACATGTTCCCAAAGCTGCTGCCCCTCCCCTCCCTGTGACAGAAGTACAGGGAGAAATTCCCTGCACAAGCTGTCCCTTTTTAAAAACAGCATTCTGTGAATGAATATTCCGTATGGCCAGCTGATCACCAGTGCAATGATTTACAGGCTCCTGCAACCAAAAATAATAAATATACATTTTGTTACCTGCAAAAAAAAAATGTGCATTTATTGTTTTTGGTCAAAAGGTGAACCTATCCTTTAATCCTGTATTTGGCATGTGGAACAAGACTAATGCATGGAAGTGTGTAGATACAGAGTTACAGTTGAATTCAGAGTTTGATTGTTATTGCTGCATTCTTCAAGGCTATAATTTTTTCTTAATTGGTGAAAAATCCCTGTTTGTAGGTTGTTGTTGTTGCTTGTTATCAAAATGCCTTTGGTGTAGTAATAACATCTGTCTGCAACTTGCCTGTTGTTCCAGAGTACCAGAATTCGACAAGGAGAGGCAAGAGATCCAGAGGTGGAGCTTGAGGTAGAACAATTTCTAGATACAAGCTTTTGATTTTTATTTATGCATCTTCTGGAGTTGTTGTGGTGTCATGCAATTGATGGTCTACCATCAATATTTTCTTAATAACATAAGCAGGTTGTGACTACCACTGTGCGATAAATTGATAAAATATATAGGGGTTAGACAAAAAAAATGGAAACGCTACATGATTTGCAGGTGTGAAAGTGACAACATGTTTCACATTGAAACTGAAAGTGATGTAACACTCTTTTGCTTCTGCTGTGTGATGAGATGCCTGGCTAACAGGTGGAAAGCCTCATATTCGTAATATGGAGTCATGTCAGAACTTACTGAGCTCCAAAGAGGGCAATTTGTTGGTGCCCACTTATTTATTTTTATTTGCCAATTTAAACGTGTCGCAAGGTACGGTATTGTAGGTTATGATGGCATATACAGTTTTTGGGAAAATGCTGTCTGATGAGCATAAGCGCGGTCAACATGGTCAGCTGACTGAAAGAGACAAAAGGACATTGCGCAGGATTGTGACCCAGAATAAGAAAACAACTGCTGCAAAAGTGACTGCAGAGCTCAATCTCAGTCCTGTCAAGACTGGGATTGAGCTCTGCAGTGACTTTTGTAGTAGTTTGTTTTCTTAATCCAGGCCACAGTCCTGCGCAATGTCCTTTAGTTGCTTTCAATCAGTTGACCATGCTTATCCTGATCAGTCGACGTTTTCCCGGAAACTGTATATGTCATCATAACCTTTGATACTGTACCTCGCGACAAGGCAAATAAATTGGCAACTTCAGTAACTGAGGCACTATCTAAGCGGGCACCAACAATTTTGCCGCCTTTGAAGGTCCGTAAGCTCTGACATGACTGTACTGAATGACGACAGTGAGGCTTCCCGCCTGTTAGCTAGGCGTCTCATCACGCAGCAGAACCAAAGAATGTTACACCACTTTCTCTTTCGACGGGAAACATGCCATCACACCTGCAAATCATGTAGTGTTTCCATTGTGTGTGTGTGTGTGTGTGTGTGTGTGTGTGTGTGTGTGTACAGTATTTTAATAATTACCTGTTTTGTATTTCTCATATCACATGAGAGCTCCTGTAATTAGCAGGAGCCAATGGCCTGTATGGACCCCTAAGTAAAAAGCTCTGCCTTTTTTCTAAAAAAAAGTTCTTAAGGTCCAGTAAACTGACTGTGCCTAGACTGAGAGGAGGAATCCTGCAGGACTATGTAATCAGCCTGCTGTAGGAAAGAAGAAACATTTGATTTAGTCACCCCTTTCTACTAATGTATATGAAATTGCAAAATTGTAACTTTGTAGTAAGTCACAAGGTGAGACTGATCTATATAAGGAAACGTTTGTACACAATAACTGCACAGTTTACAGTCATCTCTGAGCCAGCATCTCTGTCCTTAGGCTAGACTGACACTTGTGTGGCTCTAGGAGCTGCGTTTTTCATGGGCATGGCAGCCTATTAATTTGAACGGACTGCTGTGCCTCCTGAAAACTCAGGGAAAAGGTCCCTGCACCATTTTTGAAAAAACTGCTTGCAAGGAAACTGCAAGTGCAGTGCGGTTCCCAGTGCGTGGGGTTGCGATTAGGATTACTGGCATCCCCACACATCTCCTGAGCGGCAGCACGTTTTTCTGTGTGGGTGGTTGCGGCTGCGGGAACAGGTGTGGTCCCGCAGTGGCAATCACCCGCACAAGTGTGAACCTAGCCTTAACGTACATGCTGAGCTTAGTGCCTGAACAGAGATGGCGAAGATGATGACATTTTCAGGGGATGTACTGTGATTTCTGTGCAGTAATAAATACTTGTAGCACATTGCATAAAGTGGTTGTAAGCCCCCCCCCACACACACACACTTATACTTACCTAAGCCCCAGCTTGCTCCAGTGATGTGCATGAAAGAGCCTCAGTTCTACCGGCCATTGGCTCCTGCTACTGTAAATCACAGCAAGTGAGCCAAAGAGGAGAGAGTGGGGGGCGGGGCTGAGCCTCACTCTGTGTGTGAATGGACAGTTCACAGCTCTAGAGGATAGTGAATTCAGTTGTATTACAGTGACAAAGAGAGTTTACAAATGTGCAACACAGTACATCAGGACAAACTAAAAAAAGAATACACAAATCTATAATATATACACTTACCGGCTACTTAATTAGGTACACCTGCAGTTGCTTGGTAATACAAATTGCTAATCAGCCAATCACATGGCAGTAACTCAATGCATTTAGGCGTGTCTTAGACGGATGGGCATCTTTTCGTCAGCTCTGCTGGGAATAGTGTAATGTACTTTTGCTAGAATTTTTTTTTTCTTCCGTATTATTTATTTTTTTTCCTTCAATCAAGACTCTTTTCTCCATCGCTGTTTTCCTGGAGTGCTTTCCAGGTCCAGAGTCATTGGCATTGCCTCGGCACTTGCCCTGTGTCTGTTGACCCATTCTGTGAATAGGCTACTCCGGCTAAGCACTGGGAGCTACCTGTATTCTTTCTGAATCAATGAGTGCCTTTAAAATTCAAGTTTCTGCTGGTTCCTAAGCTGCGTAGAGGGTTAACGCAGAGGAACTCGGCGCTGACATCATCTGCTGCGTGGAGTGACTCTGTGCTCCCTTTCTTGCCATTTGGCATCAAGGAATTGTCTTCCCTCTGCAGCTACATGAGGCTGTTTGCAATGTAGAAACTTTGATCTCTGGTGCATTTCCACTGCCCTCCTACAGTGACTTTTGTCCATTCAGCTATCTGACTGCTACCAGCTATCTGGGTTTCATGAGTACCAGAGGCCATGCCTTGTACCCTAAGCTTAGTTGTCTTACTACTATGCATTCATAACATGTCTGTTTCTAGATATAGAGGGGACAGTCCTGTACCTTTTTGAAGGTACCGATGTCTGGAATCCTGTAGCCCTACGATTTAAAGGGTCTTCTTGGTCATCAGAGTCCTACTTGTTAGCCAGGGTCTCAGCTAAAGCCAAGGAAGTGGTTAAGTTACCTAGTTTCTGGCTGGTTCTGATTGCAGAGGATCTAAGCCTGCTCCTGTCACTGCTCCAGTGCTGTCTTGGCTGCAGTACCGATCCTCTCGTATTGTGCTTTCATGGGGGGACACTAGGGAAAATGGGAGCCATAAACTTCTGTCACTGTCAGTCAAACTCCTGTGAGGAGGGAGTGGGGGTGTGGCTTATCAGTGTTTCTTAACACCCAGCTTGCAAGGAGGCACCCTTTGGAAGGAGGAGCAGACAGCACTGGCAGGGACCTTTCTGTGCAATATCAATGCACAGAGCAGGCAAGTATTACCTCTTTTGTTTTAGCCAAAAAACAAAAACAGTCTTATCATTATCACTTTAAAGTTCATTTTTTATTTCTACCTGGAATGCTGTGCTTTATTTTTACATATTTTAGGCAAGAGTAAAATGTTTTGCTTTTCCAATAACATTTATTCTTCTGTTTTGTGTTGTTTGCTTTTCCAGCACCAGCAATGCTTGGCAGTATTTAGCAGAGTAAAATTTACACGGATTCTACTGACTGTCCTTATAGCTTTTACCAAAAAAGAGGTAAGTTGGTTTATCTTTGTATTTTAGGAGGTCCCTGTGGCAGTATTGTGCACAATAATTAATTTTTTTTTTTTTTTCTTTTGTCTAGACAAGTGCGGTGGTAGAAGCATCAAAACTAATAAGCCAAGCTGCTGACCTCCTTTGTGCTATTCAAAACTCGCTTTCACTTGGCATCCAAGCCCAGAACGATACCACAAAAGGCGGTGAGAATGCTTATATCAAACGTGCAACTGTCAAGTTATTTGATTAAACTATACCTGCTTCTAGAGAGTAACTTGCCATTTCTAAAGGATGCTTATAGCTGAAGAGATGCTGCCATTTTGCCCATTTAGAGCAAAGTGACAGTGGTATGTAAAGAACACAACTTAGCATGTCTTTTATTGTTGCGATTTATTTATTTTTCAGAATACATTTAATGTGAAATTTTATATACTGACCACAGTGAACCGTATGTTCACGTTTGTGCATCAAGAATTTACTGTTCCAAGGGCTCAGCTTTAGATCAGAAGCTGATGCTGCTCTGTAAAGGTGGCTGGACACTTTACATTCTGATTTTCAAGTATTTACCAGAAACTATTTAGTATGAGGGCCTACTTAATTGGATTTGAATTGAATGGCTTGTTTAAATAGACACTTGTAATATTCAATTGCTTGAAAATCTAACTGAGATACAGCAGAGCAGCCAATGAAATTATGCTATTAAATTCATTCCTGGAGGTCAACTTTTTAATAGTCTCTGAATGACCATTCAGAGCCAAATTTAAAGTAGAAGTTCATCAAAATGTAACTTAAGCTAAACATACTACTTCCCCCCCATTCTAAACCTACTACATCCCCCCCTTCTAAACTTATTATATCTAACCATGTAAAAAAAATTTTTTTATACTTTCCTATTCTGAAGCTAGTCTGGTCCCGTTAGCAGCTTCAATGTAGAGAGGAGGAGAGGCAGTCAATAATGGATGCCCCAGAGTAAATCTTTGGGTGATGCAATCTCCCAGGCATTAGCAGCTGTTGGCGATCTCTCCACTACATAGAAGCCGCCACTGGAGAGATCATGTGACCAGACTGGAGCGGCTTCAGAATAGAATAAGTATATAGATCTTTTCTTTACTGGGTTAGATAGAATAGGCTTAGAATGCGGGTGAGAGTAGATTTAGCCTTAGATTTTTTACTGAAACTTCATTTTAAGAAGTAATCCAGGAAGCAGGAGTGTGTAGACCATCTCATTAACAACTTATCCAACTCTATATGCAGCATGTCTGTGTGGCTTCCCTTCTTGTGAATTTCACTGTAGAACACTTTGAGTTATACACAAACAGATGAAACCTGGCATCCCTTGCTTCCCTAGAGATGTATGTATCTCCTATTAACAACTAGATGGTGCTGTGGATAAAACAAATATATGATCCCAAGAACCAATAAGAAAAAAAGACACCCTAGAGATGCTGAGATGCCAGAATTCACATAACGCCCTTCCTTCATTTCCCCAGAGTGAAGCCACGACTCATATGCTGACAACTATTTATTCTGGTTGTTGAGTTTCCTGGGAACTTATATGCATATTGAGGACTTAGGCATATCTCAGCAGGTATAAAAACATTTTTTACTACAATGTATTTGCACATATCAACAGCATAGTCAAATGTATATTGTTCAGGGTTCTTGCTAACATATCATTAACTTCTTGACAAATGACTCAGGCTTTAAAATAATTGTGTTGCATCAGATAGTTGTCAACAAGAGGCTCTGAAGAATTAAGTTATTAATGCAGCAAAGGATTGTGTGCCACCCTTTCCTCAAAATAGTATACTAATGAAATTAGTAATGGTTGTTTATATGCAGTTCAAAGCCATGAATATCTCTCATGTATTGATTGGCAGCTACTTTTGCTTGACAGTTCAGGATGTTCAAGTTTTTCTGCCTTCCTAAACTATTCGCTTCCTAGATTCAACCCATTGCTTACATTCAATGGACACCAATACTATATGCACTGATAAGTACATTTTGTCAAACTGCAGTTCAATTTACACAGCTTTGCATACAAGACAGAAATAGTTATGTATGCCACTGCGTCTATACCTCAACTGAATGATACTGTAGATATTCATGCTTACATTGACAAGTCCACGTGGAAGTGGTATACTTTTCTGTTTACTGTAAATAATTTTTCTTTACTGGCACGTTGTTCTTTTTATAGGAATGTTTAGTGTACCATGTTGTGCTTCATATACCAAGTGTTTTTATTGGTTTTATTGCCCAGCATGGTAGCCAGATTCTTCCTTTTTACATATATTTTGTGTGTGTGATATACAGTACTGTGCAAAAGTTTAAGCCAGGTGTGAAAAGTTTTGTAAATTAAGAATGCTTTCAGAAATAGATGTGTTAATAGTTTATTTTTATCAATTAACAAAATGGACCGTTAATGAACAGAAAATAAATCCAAATCAATATTTGATGTGGCCCCCCTTTTCAAAACGGCATCAATTCTTCTAGGTACAATTGCACACCGTTATTGAAGGAACTCGGCAGGTAGGTTGTTCCAAACATCTTCAGATCTTCTGTGGATGTAGGCTGCCTCAGATCCTTCTGTTTATGTAATCCCAGACAAGACTCTATGTTGAGACCAGGGCTCTGTGGTGGCCAAATCATTAATTCCAGGGCTCCTTATTCTTCTTTATGCTGAAGACAGTTCTTAATGACGTTGGCTGTATGTTTTGGGTTGTTGTCCTGCTGCAGAATAAATTTGGGACCAATCACACGCCTCCCTGATGGTAGGGAAAAGTATCTGCCTATATTTCTCAGCATTGAGGACATCATTGATCCTGACCAAATCTCCAACTCCATTTGAAGAAATGGAGCCCCAAACTTGACAGGAACCTCTACCATGCTTCACTGTTGCCTGCAGACACTCATTATTGTACTACTCCTGTTACAGCCAAATATTTAAGTTTTTGACTCATCAGTCCAGAGCACCTGCTGCCATTTTTCTGCACCCCAGTTCCTATGTTTTCATGTATAGTTGAGTCTTAGCCTTATTTCCACGTAGGAGGTATGGCTTTTTGGACGCAATTCTTCCATGATGACCACATATGGCCATACTTCCCTGGACAATAGATGGGTGTACCTGGGTCCCACTGGTTTCCACCAGTTCTGTGCTGATGGCACTGCTAGATTTCTTCCAAAGTCAAAGCGACGTAAACATGATGTGTCTTTCATCTGCTGCACTAACCCCTTCGCGCCGCCACCTCATGGTCCTTGAAGGGTTTTCTGACATCGGGAGGCAGGGTTTAGGGTCATGTGACCGTCATGGTGGTCAAATGATCGGGAAGGTCCTGATCGCAATGAGAGATCAGGACCTTTCTGTGGGACGCCGACACGTGCTGGGAGCGTGCAGGGCCCAGCCGCAGAAAGGCCACATATACAGTCCTCCAGGTTTGCCCGTTTTTGTGTTTTTTTTTTTTTTTTTTTTTTTGTGCTTCTTCATAAGAGCTTGAACGCCACATCTTGAAACTCTAGTCTGCTTTGAAACCTTTGCCTGGGAGAGAGCTTGCTGATGCAGTGTAACTACCTTGTTTTTGTTGCTGTGCTCATGGTTTATGGCCTGTGACCTGAAACTGTCTTCCACAACCTCACCTCCAGTAGCAGTTTTGGCTGTTCTTCACCTAGTTGTTTCTGTTTCAGTTAATGACTGTTTTGACCTACATATGAAATTGTTGATCATTAGTACCTGCTTGGTATAATTGTACATAGAGATATATAAAATTTTGCTTTTCTTTTTTCCTGGGTTTTTTTCTGGAAAAAAAATTGGAAATTTTTAGAAACCAATGGAAAAATATCCGTATGGAAGTAGGTTTCCAAACAGATATTTTTGTTGTACGGGAATGAGAAATAGCGAGTATATAAAAGTGTTATGCTTGAAATAAAAGTACCTTATTCAATAAATAAACTAAACTTGCTTTTTAAAATTTTGTGAGGATCCAGAAGCAGCAGACAGTGTTTCTGGAATGATAACTCTGAAGAGAAAAGCTACTTGCACTTTTTGGAATGAGAACTCCGGCGGGAAAAAACTACTCACACTTTCATCATGGGTCTCATTTATTCCAATAAAGTATTTTTAATGTCTTTAGGGCACCTCTGGTATGCAAGGATGTGTTTTTTTTTTTTCATCCTTGTAGCATTTGGAAAAGAATATTTCTTTTTCCAATATTTGCAAATTGCAGCTTTGCTCTTAGCAGAAATTGCACTGTGGAAATATTTCCAAACTATAGATGTTGGTCTTACCAGTTTTTCTGGAGGAGGAAAAGAAAAAAAAACAATTTACTGAGCAGACGATTAGTAAACATTATGCTGTGATGGTGGAGAACATTCAGAGGTTTTATAAAGATAAACTAATTTGTCAGACAAATGTACCCTCTTACCTGCCAATTAAGGCCTAAAGAGGATCAAAACAATCACCTACTTTATCCCAACAATCACCCAACTGTAGGAGGTACAAGATGGTGTCCACAAGCAAAGTAAACTGGATCCTTTCCCCTGCAGTGCCCACTTGTGGTAGAAATGCATATTTTTCTTGTCTGAGAACTGTATTGAGAAGTACCGTGTTACTTGAATTGTATTCCAGAATTTGCTTGTCTTCAGCTGAGAGAACTTGCAATAATTTAAGACTTTACATAAAGTGTCAGAATTCTTTAAGGTAGGTCTTCAGGTAATATAGCTTCTATACCATGTCATATTATTTTTTCATTCTAAAAGAACACATTTCACATTCCCTTTTTTCTTTCCAATTTGTCCAGAATAAACAACAGCTTTGAAAAAATAAGTTTTTTTTCCACTTCTTCTTTTTTTTTTTTTTTTTTTTTTTTGAAAGCCTTCCGATCTCTAACCATACACCCACCTCTAATCCTACAAGATCCCTGACTTTGTGCAAATGTGAAAAGTTTAAGAATTGATGCTTGTTTGAAGCCAAAATGTACACCAGATATTGACTTGATTTTGATTTTTTCTTCTGTTTTTCTCACTTTGCATTTTGTAAATTGCTAAAATAAAAACAAAGAACTTTAGCCAAAACTTTTTTTTTTTTTTTGATAGAGCAAGAGAGCATTTTAACCCCTGTCATATTTTTTGTGAGGAAATCCCTGCAAATTAAGGGAATTCCTTGGACCCCTATGTTACCAGAACTAGTGTCCCCGTTAGAAAATTTCCCCTCTATCACTTTTCTGTGGACATCCCAAAATTTGGGATTTTTTATTTTTTTTTAACTTTCAATGATAAACAATAAAAACTGACAGGTGTTTTAATCCTCCACTTTGTCCAAAACTTAAAAAAAAAGTTTTGCCTTTTAGTTACACTTTTAAATATATATTTTTGAAAGCTGTCTAAATATTTTTAGTAGTGTGTGTGTGTGTGTATATATATTTTGTATTATTATTTTATGTTTTGTGAATTTAGGATCGTGAGATATGTTTAATCATATGTATATTTGGTTGAATTCAACAAACTGCTATCATTTTAGATCATCCAATTATGATGGGATTTGAGCCTCTAGTCAACCAACGTTTACTTCCTCCCACATTTCCGCGCTACGCAAAAATAATTAAAAAGGAAGAAATGGTGACTTATTTTTATAAACTAATAGATCGGATAAAAACTGTGTGTGAAGTTGTCAATTTGGCAAACCTTCACAGTATTTTGGTAAGTTCTCACAACTGTTTTTTATTTCAGAATTTCCTATATTTTCTGAAAAATTAAATAATTGTTTGAAAATGGGAGCCTATGCAGATTACAAGCTGCTTTTATTTTCTTTCTATGGTTTTGTGTATTGATCTCATCTTAGTCCTTTTTTTTTTTTTTTTTTTTTTTTTTTTTTTTTTCTTTTTATATGCTGTATTGCCTAAAGACAATAGTGGTCTGTACCCTTCCTTTTTTTTTTTTTTTTTTTTTTTTTTTTTGCTATATGATTGCCTTCTGGTTCTGCCTTTTTTATAGTGTGGTCAGTCCTGCAAGTGGGGACACTGGTGATTGTGACTCAAATCACTTCAGTGTTTCCCTAGTGTCCATTGGGAAGCAGGAGGCAGGTAACTGACCAGATGCTGAAGTTTGCCGTTATGAAGTTTTGCAGGAGACTAAATTCTTGTTTCTTCTTGATGGCCAGGTTCATCACTCTAAATATAATATTTGAGTAGACTGTCAGGAAATTCTTTTATTATCTGAAGTGCAGTACATATGACTTGGGGATGCCATACTAACATTTGATGTGGTTTCTAGGACTTTTTCTGTGAGTTCAGTGAACAGTCGCCCTGTGTCCTTTCAAGATCTCTCTTACAGGTAAAAATGTGTTGCATTAAATTTGTATGCGATTGTCTCTCTCTCTCTCTCTCTCTCTCTCTCTCTCTCTCTCTCTCTCTCTCTCTCTCTCTCTCTCTCTCTCTCTCTCTCTCTCTCTCTCTCTCTCTCTCTCTCTCTCTCTCTCTCTCTCTCTCTCCCCCCCCCCCCCCCTGAAACTAAGTCATCTGTTTAGTGCTGGAGGCTGTCTGTGCTCTTTTAGGCCTTATGCATACTAGGCTACTTATACAGACTTTTGGCATATTTGCAGAGGAGCATTTTCAGGCAGAAAAAAAAACATCACAAGTGCATTTTTGAGAGGAGCTGCTGTTTCTACCAAAGGTTCTGGCATTTTTTATTTCTGCCGCTTAGTGGGCATGGACCTTTTAGGTAAGAGTGCACCTCTACAGCATCACACAGTAACATGGCTGCTCTGGAAAAATCACTGCTTACAGGATTTGGTTAGACTTTTACACTGTTTTGGGAGCTACAGCTGTGCCTGACCTGACAGGTTTCCTTCAAAGGTACAGTATCTCCCAGAAGTGAATACACCCCTCACATTTTTGTAACTATTTTATTATCTTTTCATGTGACAACACTGAAGAAATGACACTTTGCTACAATGTAAAGTAGTGAGTGTACAGCTTGTATAGCAGTGCAAATTTGCTGTCCCCTCAAAATAACTCAACACACAGCCATTAATGTCTAAACCGCTGGCAACAAAAGTGAGTACACTCCTAAGTGAAAATGTCCAAATTGGGCCCAATTAGCCATTGTCCCTCCCCAGTGTCATGTGACTCGTTAGTGTTACAAGGTCTCAGGTGTGAATGGGGAGCAGATGTGTTAAATTTGGTGTTATCGCTCTCTCTCTTTCATACTGGTCATTGGAAGTTCAACATTGTACCTAATGGCAAACAACTCTCTGAGGATCTGAAAAAAATTATTGTGGCCTAGGCTACAAGAAGATTGCCAAGACCCTGAAACTGAGCTGCAGCTCGGTGGCCAAGACCATACAGCGGTTTAACAGGACAGGTTCCGCTCCAAACAGGCCTCGCCATGGTCGACCAAAGAAGTTGAGTGCACGTGCTCAGCGTCATATCCAGAGGTTATCTTTGGGAAATAGACGTATAAGTGCTGCCAGCATTGCTGCAGAGGTTGAAGGGGAGGGGGTCAGCCTGTCAGTGCTCAGACCATACACCGCATACTGCATCAAATTGGTCTGCATGGCTGTTGTCCCAGAAGGAAGCCTCTTCTAAAGATGATGCACAAGAATGCCCGCAAACAGTTTGCTGAAGAAAAGCAGACTAAGGATATGGATTACTGGAACCATGTCCTGTGGTCTGATGAGACAAAGATCAACTTATTTGGTTCAGATGGTGTCAAGTGTGTGTGGTGACAACCAGGTGAGGAGTACAAAGACAAGTGTGTCTTGCCTACAGTCAAGCATGGTGGTGGGAGTGTCATGGTCTGGGGCTGCATGAGTGCTGCCGGCACTGGGGAGTTATGGTTCATTGAGGGAACCATGAATGCCAACATGTACTGTGACATACGGAAACAGAGCATGATCCCCTCCCTTCAGAGACTGGGCCACAGGGCAGTATTCCAACATAACGACCCCAAACACACCTCCAAGACTACCACTGCCTTGCTAAAGAAGCTGAGGGTAAAGGTGATGGACTGGCCAAGCATGTCTCCAGACCTAAACCCTAATGAGCATCTGTGGGGCATCCTCAAACGGAAGGTGGAGGAGCGCAAGGTCTCTAACATCCACCAGCTCAGTGATATCGTCATGGAGGAGTAGAAGAAGACTCCAGTGGCAACCTGTGAAGCTCTGGTGAACTCCATGCCCAAGAGGGTTAAGGCAGTGCTGGAAAATAATGGTGGCCACACAAAATATTGACACTTTGGGCCCAATTTGGACATTTTCACTTAGGGGTGTACTCACTTTTGTTGCCAGCGGTTTAGACATTAATGGCTGTGTGTTGAGTTATTTTGAGGGGACAGCAAATTTACACTGTTATACAAGCTGTACACTCACTACTTTACATTGTAGCAAAGTGTCATTTCTTCAGTGTTGTCACATGAAAAGATAGAATCAAATATTTAAAAAAATGTGAGGGGTGTATTCACTTTTGGGAGATATTGTATCACCTGAGCTGATATCCCAGTCTTGTAAATAAAATGTACAAAAAGATGTCTGTTTGGCATATACAGTACAGTCAAAATAATACACCATATTTTCTGTGCTACAAAACCCACACTACAAACTAGGATGCAGAGTTTCATTTTGGCTGCTGCTAAACCTATTTGAAACCAGTTTCTGTAATTATTTGGTATGCGCAATAACTGCGTGTAGCTTGAATATTTTCTTCTTTTAAGAGCAATAATTAACAACCCTTAACTTATCAGTTTATTATGCAGAGGTTCTCATTTTATATTATGCAATTTTCAAGACCTCTGCTTGAGCTCGTAGTTTATTTTGTGGACGTGCTGCTAATAGTACCTGATACTTTTCTTCATTTGCAGATCTGATTCAGAAAAGCAGTCTATAGAATCTGATTGCTATGGGCAGAATTCATTTTTCATTGACATTCTCCTTAAGTTAATCTGTGTGTTCTGAAGTTATTCAGCAAAAGTCTTTTCATTGATACTACTCCTTTTTCTTTCTCACTCCAGACAACATTCTTAGTGGATAACAAGAAGGTGTTTGGAACACATTTGATGCAGGATATGATAAAAGATGCACTGCGCTCCTTTGTGAGCCCCCCTGTTCTTTCCCCAAAGTAAGGATCACATCTTCCTTAGGAGTTAGATCTTCTTTGATGGAGTTGCTTTACTTAATGTGCCCTTGTTCTAGGTGCTGTTTATACAACAATCATCAAGCAAAAGACTACATTGATTCCTTTGTGACACACTGTGTGCGGGTGAGTAAATTGTCATTTTTTTTTTCCCTCTTACAACAGACCTGGCATCATATATATATTTTTTTGTAAGGTGTAAATGTTGTATGTTTGGGGTATATTATGTCTTGAAAAGAATGTAGTATTCCCAGTTGCCTTTCTTTTTGAAGGTCATCTCCATCTTTATTCAGGCATTATTCAAGGTCAGCAAGATTAGCATCTACTCATAGAATTGAAATTCTGCTCAATACATGACACAGTTGTGTAAATCCAAGTGTCTTTGACACAAAGATTGGGGTGGATTTGCAAAAGAAAAATAGACTGAGCACTTTACAAGTGCTCTCCAGAGCTTTGTAAATGTTGTAAAGCTTTGCTGATTTCCATCATCTAATCATGTGCAAGCAAAATTTGTTTTTCATTTTACATGACTGGGTATTCTTTAGAAAATAAAACTTTACCACCTTTTAAAGTCATACTAAACCTAGGACCCTGCATTCACTATATCTGGTCTCCCACAGTACACAGACATGGAAATGCAATTTATGTTAGTAAATTTAAATGCTAAATACATTTTCTCATCAGCAGTATATAGCAGTCTTGTGACTTCTTCTATCAGTGTTCAGCTGAGCACTGGTTAAAGCTTGTAGGAGAAGTTTTCATTCAGCTCTGACCGTCAAATAAGGCTGCATAACCCCTGAACCACTGTTTTGGACAGTGCTGATTAGCCCTGTACTGATCACACGCACCCAGCCAACGAAAAAAAAAAACTCTAGCAATACACACTAAACTGAGCATGTGCAGAGTGACTTCTAGAGCTCTGTACTATCAGCAGATAGCTTGGGGACAGTAGAAGAAGGGGAGGATCAGAGAAGACAGGATCAAACAGTTTCTTTACACAATGCGGAGGATTAACCCTTTAGGTTCCACAGTGAGTATGGGCTGAAACTCATAAAATATCAGGAACATTTTCATATTGAGCCAAAATAATTGGCCAGATTAGGTCTACTAACTACTATATGCCTATGTACCTTTTTTTTAGGGGGAGGGGAGGTAGAGTTTGTAAGAGCATTATCAAATAACATGCCACATTTGTCTCCTTTTTTAAGCCTTTTTGTAGTCTAATTCAAATCCATGGGCACAACAGAGCACGGCAGAGAGATAAACTTGGTCATATCCTTGAAGATTTTGCCACATTACAGGATGAGGTACCTTCTCTTTATTCATCTTAGGTGTAGAATATGTCCCTAACAGCTGTTATTTAGTCTGTATGTAATATACAAAAGACCTTGGAAATATTCTAGGACTCCTTTCTCATGGTTGGAGAATATGATGCTGCTCAGAGGAGTTCATTTTGCCATGATGGTTTTGCATTGTGATTAACGCTACATGCTGAGATGGCACCACCTGTCAAATTCTCCATTGTTAGTGAATGAGGTTATGCTGCAATCACAAGCCAAGTGCCTTGGTTGCAGTGCAGTCCCGCAATGCAAAATTGCACTTTTTTCAAACGTAAATAAAAAAAAAAAAAAAATAGGCATCAGGAGGTGGCAACATCATCTCCTGGATTCCTGTAAGGCTCTGAAAAGCTGTCCATGAAGGAGCTTGGTTCAAAATGAATGCTTACTATGGAAAAATGGTTTGGAGGTCATAATAAGTACAGTAAACTGCATTGTCTTCCTGGCTGAATTCTATACACTTCCTATCTGTGGTTGGAAAGAGAGAATTGGTCATGTGACATCATTGATTCAGGAAGCACCTTGTATTTTTATCAGTCAATTGCTGATTAGCCGAGGTGGACCTTTGACATCATCTACCCATCTCTTCATCTTGGCCAATCAGAGAACGCTTTGTATTCATTAATAAAAATACAAGGCCTTTCTTGATTGGCTGAAATGGTGCTCTGGCTTAAGTAGAGTTCTGTGCATCTAGTAAAACTAAAAAATTAGCAGTATTGAATACTGTTAGTGATATGCAAAGTAAAATAAAATGTTTATGACTTAAGTCCTAAATTAAAATGTTATGATAAAACAGTTTTTTTTTACAGATACATGTTAGTATTTATTTTCCATGCAGCATTTGTAATGTCATGCTATAACTTACTTTGTGTAAGGCGGAGAAGGTAGATGCAGCTCTCCACAGCATGCTGCTAAAGCAAGAGCCCCAGAGACAACACCTGGCATGCTTGGGAACCTGGATCCTTTATCATAACCTGCGGATAATGATTCAGTACCTGCTCAGTGGTTTTGAACTGGAACTGTACAGCATGCATGAGTACTATTACATCTATTGGTGAGTTGCACAGGATTTCCTTTCCAATATATTCCAAGTAATTATATGAACTGTATCTTGCATTCAGTGTTTTTTCATAGATAATGTAGTTTATTCCACCCCAAACTATGACCTTAGAGGTTATTCTTTTGTGAGCAGCACACAAAGATGTATAGAGCATCAACAATATAGAAAGATACCTCTGCAAAAAAGGCTGCCCATGTTGAAGTAACTCTGTCAGTCAACTCCACTCCAGCTAGATTCATATTCTTATTAAAAGGATAAAGACAGGGAAATAGGCACAAGCCAAGAGAGGAAGACAATCAAGGGAGTGCAACACTCGCCAAAGCTTTTTTTTTTTTTTTTTTTTCTTCAGATAAGGAAAGGAAGAGTTAGAACCTCTGTCAGCAATTGGTTGCTGTTCGCTTATCCTGTTTATTAGATTAGAAGAGAATTTTATTTCAACCTATTCCCTCAAGGAAGTCTTAAACCTTTATGTTATACTGCCAGTTACAGGAGTATTGAACAATGGCAAATCAACAAAAAATAACCCTTAGTTCCAGTTTTTGCTATTGTCCTATGAGGATGGACTTCTTTTCTTCCATTCCCCTGTTTTTAAAGACTAACCTATGATTTTTTTTTTTTCTCTAATATTTTTTCTTTGCTTTAGTTTAGTCAAGATTTTTTTCTACACTGATGTACAGTGATGAACAGTTCTGCCGTAATGAGGGCCCTCTAATTTCTGCTAATGAGTCAGGAAATGTGTGCAGTATGCTGATGGTTTTTTTTACAGTAATGCTGGAGTTTGACATACTCAAACAGCTTGCATTTTAGATGCTTGGTTGCAAGTGCTGGTGTTCCCAGGATATCTACATATCCCCACTTATCCTCCTCATCAGTGTGTTCTGCGATTTGCAATGGCAGACAGTCTTCTAGTTTGTCACACTGCCTTTTGACCTATCCTCTGCTCCAAGAGTATTCACAAAGGTCTTAGTACCTGTTCTTGCCCTTCTCAGGGCATATAGGTCACAAACTATCTTTATGACCTTTTCGGGATGGATTATTTTCCCACACAGCTATCTGCAAGCTTCCACAAGACAATCCAAATGCTGCAGACCTTCGGGTGGGTGATCAGTTTTTGAAAATCTGGACACATCCCAAGCAAAGGTTTTCCTTCCAGAAAAGAAAATCCTCTGTGTTGAAGCCCATGCTCAAGAATTGAGGTCAAAGAGACCTCCCACAAGAGATTCTCTGTAAGAGTCGTGGGCTTCATGGTAACATCCTTCAAGGCTGTACCATTAACCCACTTCCATTTGAGACCTCTTCAGCAAAACATTTTTGTTGCACTGGAACAAGCATACTCCTTCTCTCTACGTACCTATGCTCCTATCCAGCCAACAAGGCATTCCCTAATTTGGTGGATCTTCAGCCCAGCTTTGACAATGGGGAAATCCTTCTCAATGGGGAAATTCTCACAGTAAAGGAAATATGGTCTCTTGCAGAAAACAACTCCCGATCAACATCTCGGACCTTGGAGCAATAAAGATGCTTCTGCAACAATAGCCCCCCCTTTTGCAAGCCAGATCATCCCCTGGACAGAAACTCACTGTTCAATCTCTGCAGGCCACATCCCAGGAGTGGACAACTGGGAAGCCTACTATCTTAGCTACCACCGCCTGGATCTGAGAGGATGGGCCCTTTGTCCAGACATATTTAACCTGATATGGCAGACATGGGGGACCCGGATGTAGGCATCCTGAACTCCAGATACAACACCAACAAACTGCCTCAGTTTGTGGCCAAGACCAAGAATCTTCTAGTGCTGGTGTCGAATGCCCTGATAATTGCCCAGTAATAGTTCAGTTTTATCCATGCCTTCCCTCCATTGCAAATTTTACTCATCTGTTCAAGAAGATGGAAGAAGACGGTAATTCTAATTGTACTAAACTGGCCCAGGAAGACCTGGTACACAGACATACTCAGACTTCTAGGAGACAATCGCTGGGGTCTTTCCAAAAAGGCAGACCTGCTGTCTCAGTACCCCCTACTCCATTTAGCTCTTCTGTCTCTGGTTTTCTTGGATGGCTAATGAAGCCAAGATCTTAAGTGACAGTGGTTTCTGGAGCCTGTCATTCCTAGCTTGCTAAATGCAAGAAAAGCCTCTTCAAAGAAGGTCTACCATTGCAACTAGAAATTCTTCTTTGCCTGGTGTGAACATAGACACCTCTATCCCAGAGACTACTATGTGCCTCACATTCTAGCCCTCCTACAATCAGGTCTTGAACAGAACATTGACCTTAAGCAAACTCATAGGACATGGCTCAACCTTGCCTCTGGCTTCCCTCTTCTTTGTCAAAACCTTCATTCGAGGTGTACCTTGCATTAGGCCCCTGTTACAGCACCGTTCTTGTGCTTCTTGGTTATTCTGCATTATTTACTATAAAATGGAGGACTCACTGAGTAAGTTAGGGTTATAGGAGAGGCTCCCAACGGGCGTGTCCTTGAAAGCTTGCCTGGGTCTAATCACCTGGAGGTCTGTGAATGCTTTGCCTGTGTCCTGTACTGTACTCGAAGATAAGAAATTTACAGGTAACTCCAGATTCCTTTTTTTTTTTTTTTTTTTTTTTTTTTTTTGTACGTGCTGTAAAATCTTTTCTTGAAGGGCAGAGTTCCCACCCCTCTGTTATGTCATGATGGTAAGGGGTTATCTTGGACTGGGCTACACTTGTTTGCGTTTGCCAGTGTTCAGTCCTTCTGTAGGTGGTAGTATAGTCCTACCATTTTAAGAGTCCCTGTGAGCACAAATTTATTTATTTTTTTTATTGTTGCATGTGTTCCCCTTTTTGGAGTTTTTTCCTTGCATTTACTACAGTCCAAACCCAAAAGACTACCCCATTTCATGCATGATGAGAAAAACTATGGGGTTGACTTACTAAAACTGTAGAGTGTAAAAATCTGGTGCAGCTCTGCATAGAAACCAATCGGCTTCTAGGTTTTTTTGTTTAGGTCCAAGCCTAATTGAACAAACTGAAGTTAGAAGTTGATTGGCTACCATGCACAGCTGTACCAGATTTTGCACTCTCCAGTTTTAATAAATCAACACCATAGTGCGGTATGCAGTTAATGTTTGTGATCCTTTCTGAAAGTCACAAGGCTTTATATTGCAGCAGAAATGAAGTAGGCACATGCTTTGGAATTCTGAGAAAAATATACTGTATTGTCATGTCAAAGAAGGATGTAGGGGCACACTTTTTATTTCTGGCATATCATCAGTTTTTTTTTTTCTGTACTTGCAGCTTGAACATTTGGAAATGCATGTATTGCAGAATTTTTTTTTTTTGTTTTTAATTTTGCCTTGACATATGCTTTAGGGCCCTTTCACACGGGCAGACACTGCCAAGCAGCGTGTCCGCTCTGCCCAAGCACACAGCCTGCTGTTCTCTATGGAGCTGTTGGATGTAAATGGACCGCCTGTCTCTTTACATCCAACTGTCATCCGATCCACTAGACTGATGGGGAACGCATCCAAACCCGTCTGTTTTTAGTGGAATGGATCGGGTGCAGGTGGTTATAAAACTGACACATGTCCGTTTTTACATCCACCTCCCCATACAAAACAATAGATAGTCTGATCAGGTCAGCCTGAAAAACAGACAGATGGACCTGATCGGTCTGTCTGTGAAAGGGCCCTTAAATCGAGGTGTATATATCCTGAATGGACACTTTTTGCAAATACCCCATGTCAATTCACATGTTTGGTAAACTTCATATGCAGGTATCTGTCTGAATTTCTATATGCATGGCTGATGTCCACACTGAGTAGGGCAGATAGCTCACAAATGGCAGAAGAACGCATAATGGAGGAGCAGCAGAAAGGGCGGAGTAGCAAAAAGACGAAGAAGAAAAAGAAAGGTATTTTTTTAAAAACTTACACATCTCAAGCACAGTGACTTTGAAGTTTTTCACATGTGATCATACCACCATCTTTCATCCACACGCTGATGTTTATATTTTGTTAAATGTGTAAACCTGTCTGTATCTTGAGCCCTGCAGCATATTTCTTTTCAACAGCACACATCTTAGACCTTGGCAGAAGCACAGGTTAACCACTTAAGCTCCGGAAGGTTTTACCCCCTTCATGACCAGGCCATTTTTTGCTATTCGACACTGCACTACTTTAACTGTGTGGTCATGGAACTGTCTGTTTTGTTCACACAAATAGTGCTTTCTTTTGGTGGTATTTAATCACCGCTGGGTTTTTATTTTTTATTATATAAATGAAAAGATACTGAAAATTTTGAACAAAAAAAAAAATATTTTACTTTCTGCTATAAAACGTATCCAATAAAATTTTTTTTTTTTTTTTTTTTTAAGCAGAGGCCCTAGAGAATAAAATGGTGGGTGTTGCATATTTTTATGTTGCATTATATTTGTGCAGCGTTTTTTGCAGATTCAAATTTTTGGGAAAAAAGCGTTATTATTCAAAAACACCTTACCCATTTTTTGGTAAAATATATAAAAGATGATACTTTTATATAATCAAAAGATATGTGGCACGGGTGGACACTGATATGCGACACGGATGAGGAGGCTCTGAGAGGCAGCACTGATGATCCGTGCCCTGATTATTCGTGTAGATACCCCCTGTGTAGATTGCCGCTTACCAGCTCTCCTCTCCCTCACGTGCTATCAGCATGAGAAGAGGATTGCCGATAACTGGCAAATCCTGTTTACAATGTGATCAACTGTGATTGGACACAGCTGATCACATGGTAAAGGGCCAGTGTAATTTGCTTTCACCTTGATCTGTGATCAGCTGTGTCAATGATCAGAGCAAGGCAAGAGGGGGGGTTTAGGCTTCTGGGATGATGTCCACCCAGAAATTGACAGCTGTGCTGTAGCCCTCATGCTATGCCTCCAAACTATGGTACTTAAAAATCTTCAAAGGCGACACTTTTAAGGCCTTTCCAGGTTAACAGTTTAGAGTTACTCATGAGGTCTGGTGCTAGAATTATTGTTCTCTTTCTGGCGTTTGTTGCGATACCTCACATATGTGGTGTGATCACCCTTTACATACACATGCAAGACCAATGTGCATGTTTGCCTTTGCATGTGATTTGAAAACAAAGAACCCAGTAAAGCTGTCAGGGGGGGGACCCCCTTCTGCTTCCTGTAAAAGTAATCTAGCAGCTGCTGAAAAAAAACTATGCAGTCATGATCCCGGTATACCTAGTTCACCTTTTAGACCTTTTATAACCAGCTCTGTTCCAGATCAATTTTTTTTTTTTTTTTCACATACATGTAAAATCTTAATTTTTGGCAATAAAATCACACAGATCGGCTTGGTTAGATGTGTCCCTTGACTGTATTGGCCAGGAAATGGTGCATCTGAAATTGGAAGTGACATTACTTCTGGTTTCATTGTTTACATGCGAGATCAAGGCATAGATTTGCCTCAGTCTCGCAGCGCTCTCCCTCCCCTAGCCGGTGGCTGTGTTCGCGGGCACCGCGCTGCCAGCTCTGTGAAAGTGATTGGCAACTATGGAGCTGCCGCATCTCTTTCAAGCCAGAAGCCGACTAATCAAAACCTGCACAAGCTGATGGCTGCTACTGCAGCCATGAGCTTGTGAATAAAGGTTCACTCTTTGGACATACTACATATGTCCAAAGAGTTGAACTGGTTAAATGACCTAAGGGACAGGAAGTGGTTACATTCCACTAAGAGTGGCATTTACACAAGACTTCGCAAAACCATAGAGAATTTGTGTTAAGGCTTTGAGAAACTGCACAAATATTTCACATAAACTTAATCTATTTATCCTTTACCTTTCTGTTTTCATTATATTCCTTATTTTCAGTGGAATCATCCTTGGGTCTCAGTGCATCTTTGTGCTTTCCTATGTTTCTCTATGCGATGCAGGCAGGTTGTTTTGGTTTTTTTTTTTTTTTTTTTTTATGTAACTTCACAGCACCTTGCTGCAGTACTCTTCTGAAGAGTCCTCAGCCCTGATGCAAACAGTGGACTGGCCCCTGGGGGGGAAGTTGTAAAAATTTCAAAATGCCTCTGTGGATGTATGTCTGGAGGAGTGGATATTCCTTGGCAGGGTTGCAGCACTGATTGCAAACTGCCCTAGGCAATGCCTGCCTGTGATTCTGAGCCTCCATGATTAAAATAAATGAAATCCAATAATGAAAAGGCTGTATGATGCTGGACATCCTCCAGCCAGGAAAAAAAGTGGGGTCTGTCTGATTTTCTGCGGCTCCTAATGCACAAAGTAAGTAGCTCACAAAGTGCAGTGAAATCAGAGTAGGCATTTTCAGTACAGGAGCAAGGTGCAAGATGAAAGGTAAGGCTTTGACCCAAAATTATAAAATTTTACCTTTAGTGACCAAAGATGGTATTGCATCCTGATTCACAATACATCTTTCTTGGTAATTTTGCACTTGTATGTTCAGCTTTTGCTACCATAAGATCTTACCAGTTAGAATATTTCTTAGTTTGAGTAAGTAAGCAGCTGTTTCATATATTGAACAAGTTGGGGCTAGTGTTTAGGCTTTAATGACATGTACAGAAATAATGAAAGAAGAGTTGTAAAAAAACTTTATAACATTCTGAGATTTGTGTCAGGACACGGGCAAATCCAAATATCTTAAAAGACAATTACACTATTATACTAAACTCTTCCACTTCATCTTCCCAAACTAACCACACTAATATCCTCTACCCAAATTTCTTACCCCTGTACTCTTGTTTGTTCTTACTGGGCAAAAATCCTCTTTGGGGCAGTCCTGGAGAGCAGCTCCACTATCCAGGATGGCCCCATACAAGCCTACGAGGTCCTGCCCAAGGAGAAGAAAACATTGCACAGGACGTGGCTCTGATAAGTGGTCATAGATGAGGTAAGCAGGGGTAGGGGAATGCTAGTGTTTTTTTTTTTTTTTTGTTTTTTTTTTTCTTTAGGGATGGTGGGTTAGAGGAGTTTAATATAAAACTTCAATTGTTCTTCAACTGTACTTATCCTTGCTTTGAAGAAAAGTTACATAATTGGGGATTTTTTAAAATAACAGAATGCATTCTGAAATGTATCTTGTGAAACCGTTGTTCCCAAGATTCTGATTTACAAACGAGTTACTTTTATACTTTGATACTTGTTTTGCAGTTCGGCCTCTGAGCAGAGAAATAACCCTAAGCCAAGCCTATCAAAATATGTGTGCTGGGATGTACAAGGTAAATGTAGACTTTAATCTAACTTTTAAACAAAACTGTGAATGTTAGTATACATTTCTGTATTGAATTGCTATTTGCTGCATCTTGAGTGAAATGCCGATTGTTGGATTTTCAGAGATTTCCTAGAAACAATGTACATCACACATACTGTATGTAACAATATATTACTACTGGGAACATTTTAAATCTGTCTTGTACATTTTAAAAAGAGAAACTTTAATATTAAACTGTAAAGTCAATAGAAAACCTCTAGTTGTGTTTTTTTTTTTTTTTTTTTTTTTTATCAGAATGATGGAGCAAGTTGGAACTTAAAAGCATATCTAAAAATAAAAAAAACCTAAGATTTTCTTTATTTACGTTTACTAATCCTTAGATGTGGAAGCTGCATTATTTTTTATTTTTTTTTTTTTGTCCCATTTTTTCTTCTGTATCTTTTTTACCTTTTGATCCTGACAGTACCACGTTTCCTGTCTTAGGGTGACAATGCTCACTTCTGTATTGTGTCTATTAGGGAGAAGCACTGTCAGTCTAGGCTACTCGCTTAATTTGAACTATAATCACATCTTTCTGTGCTCATCATCATTATATAAGTGGTGGGGTAGTAATTTTGTAGTTAATATGGTTTAGAAAGCTGATGACTTTTTGCAGATTTCAGTTCAATGCATAGGAAGTTACAATAACACTGGAATCCTGCCAGGATGAGCAAGTATTTTTCTGTACTTGCTGAAGATATTAGCCTGAAAACCTAAAACTAATGCAGCTACCACATCTAAGTACCAGTAAGCTGCAATTGTATTATATTTTTATCCTTTTGATTTAGATATCCTTCTATTATCTTGAAATATAAATGACTTTTTTTTTTTAATGGCAAATTCAGCTGGGAAGCTAGATTTCCTCTCCACCCTGTTACAGTGCTGAATGGCTTGGAGGAGGAGGGGGGGGGGGTATTGACTGGTGCTTTTACATTATTTTCTTAAGCTCTTGCTGACAGAGCAATCTGCTATAGCTCGAAAACTTCATAGACATGATGAGAATATTGGATGAATGATCATCCCTTTTTTTATTTTTAATGGTAGTCTCCTATCAAAAACTAATATGTTATTAGAGAAAATTCTCGTAAGACACACCCCCAGGTCTCACCAAATACCAATTTAAGCTGGCTACCCATGTACTACTTGCGGCAAAAAAACCATAGGGAAAGCTTGGAAACAGCAGCTTCTACCTTTTTACAGACTTTCGCCTCCTAGACTTTTTTTTCTTATGAAAAGCTCTCCCGCATTCTTTTGGATACCCACAAAGAAATTTCTTAAAACATGGACTCGCTGGATCCAACATGCTCACCCTTGTCAACAGATAGATAGATAGTTTTAATTTGCTATAATTACAGAGATTCCACGACCCCCTCCCTTTTTCTTTGTTTTTTCTTTTTTTTATTTTGCTCTTCCGCAGGGACAAAGTGTGGTTCATTCTTCTGTATTTCTAGGTTTGATCATCTGATCTGTGAATTTCATACACTGACACCTCTCTCGCCAATGCCTAATTCCAGGCTATGGGTGTATGGATATTCTTTGGCTTTTCACACTGATCCATTGTTACAATATGATCAATGTACTTTTTGACATAGCCAACAAATACAAGGACTAAAAAGGTTAACCAAGGGCCTGAACAGCCGATATAGAAGGGATTAAATTCAAAATCACCCAGCATTAATATCGGCTACCATATGATTGCTGACTCATCCATGAAAAACATAAATAAATGTTAATGGGTGTGGTCACCGAGACTTATACTCGATACATATGCGCATAGGGAAACGCGTTCCCTGAACAAAGATAGTTTCATGTGGGACCATGCAGCTTTATCAAAGGGCTTTTATTAGAAAAAACAAAACAAATATACATTGCACAAGTATACACACAAAAGCTGAGCACACTATAACTTCACTAAACTAAAAAGACAACGTCTCGTCACCTTAGCAGCTGCTCATACAACCTCCAACATACACACTTAGGGAAAGGGGGCGAGAAAGGCTAAAGGGGCAACTTGGGAACATTTGGGGCAAGAATTCATGTATGGAATGTAAGAGTTGGATGATTGGCATTCAGTAGTGTCCCATATAGTAGACAGGAGTCAGGTAGAAGACCGGTTGTCCCATAACCATATACAATGAGTAACCATAGACTCTGGAGACTCCAATTACATCTGCAATTGAGGCTTGCCGGTCATAATCTGGATATGAATGTCCTATTAGTTGGCCAATTTAGGCCATATAATGTGCCACCATTAATACACAGCTTGTGGCCGTCCCATCACATGTCTGGGCACCCAGCACTTCCTGCCATGTATACAGTATACTGGACTGACTTCCACTATTGCTGATATGTACAGCTTATGAAAAACGGACCATGACGCCATCTAGTGGTATAGTTATGGAACTACGTGTGGCTTGCTGGAACTAAGCACAGTGAATACATAAGGGATGGGGAGAAATGGAACACTTGTGTATTTACACTGCTATTCATGAATCTGGCTACTTGGTAACTGTGTATTAACGGAGCGGATGGTGGCACATTATATGGCCTAAACTGGCCAACTAATGGGACATTCATATCCAGATTATGACCGGAAAGCCTCACTTGGAGATGTAATTGGAGTCTCCGGCGTCCTATGGTTACTGATTGTATATGGTTATGGGACAACCGGTCTTCTACCTGACTCCTATCTCCACTATATGGGACACTACTAAATGCCAATCATCCAACTCTTACATTCCATACATGGATTCCTGCCCCATATGTTCCCAAGTTGCAGCTTTTTAGCCTTTCTCACCGCTTTCCCCTAAGTGTGTATGTTGGAGGTTGTATGAGCAGCTGCTCAGGTGACGAGACAACGTTGTCTTTTTTAGTTTGGTGAAGTTATAGTGTGCTCAGCTTCTGTGTGTATACTTGTGCAATGTACATTTGTTTAGTTTTTTCTAATAAAATCCCTTTGATAAAGCTGCATGGTCCCACATGAAACTATCTTTGTTTGGGGGAACGCTTTTCCCTATGCAAATACCTTTTGAGATACCATCTACTTTTGTTACTTGTTATGGATTTGATATTTTATGACTGCTTTTGACCTACGTGTTTTTGATGTTCTAATCCTACTTTGCACATACCACAGTGTTTGCAATTGTATCTTGTAAAAAACAAACTTTTTCAATAAAATTTTTATGAAAGGAAAATTCTTGTAAGACAGAATACAACTTCCCGTGATGATGCATTGTACTGTAGTGTATTCTTTAGTTTCTGAGCATGCGTGGTCTTGGTCACTTGATTTTTTTTTTTTTTTTTTTTTTTTTTTTAACAGTACTGATTAAACAAAAATCGTTTCTCTTGTTATCGTACGAGAAATTTTCGTGCTTGTCCCTTTGGATAATTGTGCAAGAACTCCCTTTGGATAATTGTGCAAGAACTGTCATGATTAGCTCTCAAAAGCTGTGTACTAATGATCAGAATAACAAACGATCATTCCAAAAGCAGTATTTTTCATCTGACTTTCTTATTGTGTGTACTAGCCATAAAGGACTGTAGTAGGTCTGACCTAAGTATAGCTGTTCTCTGGTAAGACTCTCAATGGTGCCAGCATTTACAGCTACAGCAAAGTTGACAACACTGCAGTGATTTTACTATAGAAAAAGAGTGTTGTCTGATGATCAATAAAAGATTTTCTGGTCCATCTGTTCTACTGGCATAATCAACATGTATTGGCAAAATGTTCTAGGACAGCAATGGGCAAACTACGGCCCCGCGGGCCGTATACGGCCCGGCGGACCTTTTAATCCGGCCCGCGGAGTGTGATACTGTCAGGATGGCTGTCAGGATGTGTGTAGGCGGGGCAGCGTGACGAACGTGAGGGGATGAGCTAGGCTCCTCTCACAGTCCGCCCTGAAGACCGGAACGGCGCGGGAACACGGCGAGAGGAACGCGCAGAGCAAAGGTAAGTAAATTGACACAGGGGGGGACTTGGCTTACTACTTGGGGGGGAATAGTACTGTGGGGATGAAATACTATATGAGGGATGAATTAATATGGGGAATGAATTACTATAGGGGGGGGTGAATTACTATAGGGGGGATGAATTACTATGGGGGATGAATTACTATGGGGGGGATGAATTACTATATGGGGGGATGAATTACTATAGGGGGGATGAATTACTATGGGGGATGAATTACTATATATCTACTCTTGGTTTGGCCCCCGGGTCCAATATATGAACCCATTGCGGCCCTCAAGTCAAAAAGTTTGCCCACCCCTGTTCTAGGAGGTACTTTGAGAAAAGATAGCCTTACAGGTATGGACAGCCTACATATGCAATTTTAAAGTCTGACCATAGTTCAACTTTGGGCAGGAGTAGTGCCCAAAAAGACCCTCTGCCTTTGTCCATTCAATGCAAAGTGACAGTCTTTTTTTATTTTTTTAAAGTTTACACCTTTACCCACTAATTCTCCCCTTTTGTCTGCCCTCCCACATTGCTCTGTTCATTCTGGGGTCAGCTCGGTATTATATTCTGTTGACCATATATAATACAGGGTTGATGACATTGTTGCCCTCGTCATGTGATACTATAAAGGCTTAGTGATTGGCATCTAGATCCATGTACTGCATCATGAGGAGTTTGTGTTTTTCTCATACTCAAAAGCACCAGGTATGGCATTAGGATTCTAAAGAAGCAAAGGGGGGGGAAAGAGAGGTGAAGGTGAGTATACGTTGATTGGTGAGAGGGTTTAAAAGAGATTTTGCCCCTTTAAAGAACAACTCCAGGAAGCTTTATGCCTAAACTATCCCTTTATCAAAATGCCATAGCATTTTCAGACAAGCACCCCTTTGTGCTGGAACACCATAAAGACACAGCATAATTCCTGTATGGATACCATTACAGCTCTAGAGATCATTGTTGGTATATTTGTACAACTTACCCAAAAGTAATGAAACCTTCCTTCAAATCACTTTCAATAAACGTGGCCTGTGAATTTCCCCTTCAGCCTCTAGATGGTACCTTTGATCACACTGCTTCTTTGCACAGCACCAACAGTAACCATACCTGCCTTTCTTGCTCTCCTGAAGATTCTGTTGCCTACAGATAATTGCAGAAAACTTTGCTACAATAGAATTCCAAATATTGAAGGGGTGGTTATGCAATTGCATATTTTTTTGGGCTGCATCTAAAGATTTAAAAGGTAACTCCACTTTTATGGGAAAAATACAGCATATACAATTGCTACAAAAGCTGTATTGGAATTGAATGGTCATAAAAATGACCTTTCCATTTCAATCTGCAGAGCTGTAATTTTCTGTACAATTCAATGCAATATGCTAGTCTAGATGCCTTCTGTATACAGTTGGTGTACAGAAAGCCAGCAGAAAATGTAATTTCCTGCTTGTGAGATTGGCTTACCAATTTTCTCAGAAGTCTGCACGAAGATACAAGTCCTACTTTAAGCATCCTCTGCAGCAAAAATTTACTTGTTGGTGAGATACTTCCAATGGGTTAATCACTTCTAAAGGAATGCAGATCCTGAAACTTTACTTATTAAAATAGGGTAAGTGCATCAGCTGATTATTAAAGAAAACCTCCCTGCCATTCAGAATAGGGTAAGTGCATCAGCTGATTAATAAAGAAAAAGTCACTCCCATTCAGATTCACTCAGTTTCTTAAGAGTAGAAACAGGTAGGAATCTGCAACAACATTTGTTAAAGCAGACCTCCACCCAAAAGGGAAGTTCTGCTTTAAGGCCTAATCCCCCGCTCCATATTTAGGATTGACACCTTTGGGGAGCGGGGGGGTAGAGGTACCTGGTTTAGACAGGTACCTGCTCCCACTTCCCTGTGAACGCCTAGGTGATCAGAAGTAAAAGTTCTCCTCCCCCCTGCAGTCTTCTGGGACACATGGCACTTGAAGCCACAAGCTGTCACAGCTGGGTGCCCACACTTGCGATGCCAGCGCTGGGGACATAGGATGACCAGTGAACCCAGCTGTGGTGAGGACACAGTTGGATCATAGGACAGGTGAGTGTTTAGCTGTTCGTTGGAGACTGGAGCTCCGCTTTAAAGTCTCTGCACTGTACATAAATCACCCAGAGGGGAATAGTTTTCCTCACCAAAAGTGGAGTTACAGTTTAAGCTTTCTGACTGAAACATATCTAATGTCATTCTAATTTTAAGTGTTTTAGTTCAGATGGCAGGCAATCAACATGATTAGTTTGCCACCCATTTCTACTAAATACAGACAAACGCTTTGGGGAGGGAGCAATGATGTCTGATTTGACATTGCTGCACCACTGTTCGGTAAATAGGAAAACCTTTACAAATTTATTACTGACAGCCATGATTAAAAAAATCTAAGAGGTTTACCTTTCAAAAAAAAATAAGGTTAACATCTGAGACAAAATGGGATTTCTTAATTGTCTGATATCTGTATTTGCTGTTTAGACAATGATTGCCTTTGACATGGATGGCAAAGTAAGAAAACCCAAATTTGAGCTGGACAGTGAACAAGTTCGGTATGAACACAGATTTGCACCATTCAACAGTGTTATCACTCCACCACCAGTGCATTATTTACAGTTTAAGGTAAGTTTTCTATTTTTACTTGAAAAGTGGGTGCTGCTTGTTGTTGTTTGAAACCCTGCAGTGTCAGGAAGTGTGTGCGCTGAAACCTAGTCCTGCTCTACTGTGCACATTATGCTGCTTTCCTGTCAGTAACACAGATGGATTCATCACATTGGCCAGAAGTAACTAAACTTAGTCAAGGCCCTGGATTAGAGGATAGCCTGGCTTGCGTATAAACGTTTTCTACTTTATGAGGCTGGAATAAAATTGGAAAAGTGGGTGAGATTTATTAAACGGGGTGGGGCTTTGTTTTATAATAACTATGGTACCGTATTATTCAGCTGGCAGTTTCCTAGGTTTTAGGTGAGCCTCATTACAGCAGTTGGAGGGTGCTATATACTGAGAAATAAATGGCATGAACTGCATGTTGTAGAGCACCTTTTAGAGAGCACATATTTGTCTGACTAGATCAAGGTATTGAAGTCCGAGTTGCGAGCCCCACCTTCTTGTTACCTGAGAGTAAATGAAAACGAAGTTTTATTGGGGGAACATAAGGACTAACTGTAATTATATATAAAGATCTGCAGTTAGGTCCATATATATTTTGGACACAGGCACAACTTTTTTTTTTTTTTCAGGCATTTACCAAAACATATTCAAACTATAGTTCTATAATGGATATGGGCTGAAAGTGCACACTCTCGGGTTTAATTTGAGGTAATGTACATCCAAATTGGAGGAAGGGTTTAGGAATTACAGCTCTTGAAAGTAGCCATCCCTCCTTTTTCAAGGGACCAAAAGTAATTGGACAATTGAATCAAAAGCTGTTTTATGGCCATGTGTGGGCTACTCCTTCGTTATTTCTTCATCAGTTAAGCAGGTAAAAGGTCTGGAGTTGATTCTAAGTGTGGTATTTGCATTTGGAGTCTATTGCTGTGAACCTACATCATGCGTTCAAAAGAGCTGTCCATGCAAATGACACAGGCCATTGTAAGACTTCAAAAATGAAGCAAATCCATCAGAGAGATAGCCGCAACATTAGGAGTGGCCACATCAACAGTTTGGTACATTCTGAGGAAAGCAGAACGCACTGGTGAGCTGAGCAACAAAAAAAGGCAGGGACGTCCAGGGAAGACAACACATGGTGGATGATTGCAGAATCCTCTCTAAAGTAAAGAAAAACCCATTCACAACATCCAGACAAGTGAAGGAAACTCTTCAGGAGGTAGGCGTCTCATTGTCAAAGTCTACAATCAAGACTTCACGAAAGGAAATAGAGGGTTCACCACAAGGTGCAAACCATTCATAAGCCCACAGAATACAAAAGCCAGATTAGACTTTGCCAAAAAAATCTAAAAAAAAAGCCAGACCAGTTCTGGAAAAGCATTCTTTGGACACATGAAACTAAGGTTAATCTGTACCAGAATGACAGGAAGAAAAAAGTGTGGAGAAGGCTTGGAACCGCTCATGATCCAAAGCACACAACGTCATCTGTAAAACATGGTGGAGGCAGTGTGATACATGGGCATGCCTGGCTTTCAGTGGCACTGGGTCATTGGTGTTTATTGATGAGACAGAAGCAGCCGGATGAATTATGCAGTGTTTAGAGATATACTGTCAGCCCAGATTCAGCCAAATGCAGCAAAGTTGATTGGACGGCACTTCACAGTACAGATGGACAATGATCCAAAACACACTGCAAAAGCAACCCAGGAGATTTTGAAGGAGAAGTGGAATATTCTGCAATGGCCGAGTCAATCACCTGATCTCATCCCAATTGAGCATGCATTTCACTTGCTGAAGGCAAAACTAAAGGCAGAAAGACCCACAAACAAAGAATAACTGAAGACAGCTGCAGTTAGAGCCTGGCAAAGCGTCAGAAAGGAGCAAACCCAGTCTTTGGTAATCTCCATGGGTTCCAGACGTCAGTCATTGCTAGTAAAGAATTCTCAACAAAATATTAAAAATGAACATTTTATGATTATATTAATTTGTCCAATTACATTTGAGCCCCTGAAAATGGAGGGACTGTGTATAAAAATGGTTGCAGTTCCTAAAATATATACTTGATATTTATGTTCAAGCCCTTGAATTAAAGCAGAAAGTCTGCACTTCAAATTCATTTGGATTGTTTTGTTTTAATTTATTCTAGTGGCACACAGAGCTAAAAGTATGAAATTAAACATGGACCTAACTGTACAGCGTACAGACTACAAGGGCTGTATTTATTGTGATGTAGTGTATTATTATTAGTACATGTATTTGTACAGTGCCAACATTTTACACATTGCATATTGCACATTGACATCAAATCCTGCCCTGCTCTTACAATCTGCGGCAGCATGGCATCCTAGTGTGAAAGGAAACCTGAGTACCCAGAGGAAACCAGTGCAAGCACAGGGAGATTTTTCAGACTCTACACAGGTAGTTTCCTGGCTGGTATTAGAAACAAAGACCCCAAACCTGCAAGTGCTGGCCATTGTGTAGTCATGTGTACAACTTATAACATCCAAGTGAAAGATAAAACACCAACATGTCAGAAATTTAAAAAAAAAAAACAGAATCGCGGAGTTGGAAAAAGGATCACCCCTGTGTCAGTGTTTTGTTGAACCACCTTTTGCTTTAATTACAGCCTTTAGTCTGTTGGAATATGTCTCTACTAACTTTGCACATCTAAGTTTTGCAATATTTGCCCATTATTTGCAGAACTGCTCAAGTTCAGTTAAACATGATGGTGACTGTTTGTGGACTGCAGTCTTCAAGTCATTCCACAGATTTTCAATGGGGTTTAAGTCTGGGCCCGGACTAGACCATGCAAGGACATTCACCTTTTTCTCCTTCAACCACTCTGCGGTAGTTTTTGCTGTGTGGTTTGGGTCACTGTCATGTTGGAAGGTAAACCTTCTTTCCATTGACAACTTTCTGGCAGAGGCAGCAGATTTTCTTCAAGAATTTGATGGTATTTTGTCCCATCCACTATTCCTTCTATCCTGACAAGTGCTCCAGTCCCTGCTGCAGAGAAACACCCCATAATAGGATATTACCACCTCCATGCTTTACTGTAGGAATGGTGTTATTTGGATGGTGAGCTGTATTGGATTTCCACCAGGCATACCATTTAGTGTTGAGGCCAAATCATCCAATTATAGTCTCATCTGACAATAACACCTTTTTCAATGTGGCCTCTGAATCTTCAAGGAGCTTTTTGCCAAAGCTCAGTGGTGACTGCATGTGGTCTTTTCTTGAGTGGCTTTTTTCTTGCAACCCTCCCCCATACAAGCCACATTTGTGGAGCATTTGTGATATTGTTGTCACATGCACACAATGACCACTCTGTCATAAATTCCTGCAACTGCTTCAGAGTTGCTGTAGGCCTCTTGGTAGCCTCTCTGACCAGTTTCCTTCTGGCTCTTTCATCCAGTTTGGAGCAAAATCCTGATCCAGAGAGGGTCTGTGTTGCACCAAATACCTTCCACTTCTTAATAATAGTCTTCACTGTGCTTCTAGGCATTGCTAAAGCCTTTGACATTTTTGTATCCATCTCCTGTCTTGTGCCTGTCCACAACTTTATCCCTGAGATTTTTTGACAGTGCCTTGTCGCTCATAGTTTCTTTGCTTCAACTGCACTGTCAGGGACTGAAATGCTCCAGAAAAGCTATTTTCATGCTAAGCTATTCAAATGATCACAGCTGAAAGTCAAATGGCTTTGTGTGCCATTTGAGAAGGTGATTAGCTACACCTGTTTGAGTTTACAAGTCCTTTTTAGGAGGGGGAGGGGAGGAGGTCCTTTTTCCAACTCAGTGATTCTGTGTTTAAATTTTTTTTTTCTGACATGTTGGTGTTAGTTCTTTCACTTGGATGCTATAAATACAGCTGGATAAAACAAAAATTGTCTACATTCATTTCAGGCTGTAAAGCAACAAAGAGTGAATATTTTAAAGTGGGTGATTTTGTTTTTTTTTTTATACCCACTGTATATGAATGCAGATCTGTCCCTGTATGTTAGGGGTTGCTGCACAGAATTCTCTGTGTATTCTTTTATGGAATAAAGTGCTGTTTGCACTGCCTCAGATTTCATCTGTCTTCACTTCACTGTGAGAGATTCTGCTAAATTATTCTTCTGGTTTCTTGACTTAACCCATAAATCATTGACTTATGAAACGTGTTACTTCTCTGGCATGTGGTCTGATCTGACTTGTTTTTCCTGTTTTTCACATCCAAGGAAATGTCAGATTTAAACAAGTACAGTCCCCCACCACAGGCTTCAGACTTGTACATGGCAGCAAGCAAACATTTTCAACAAGCAAGGATGATTTTAGAAAATATTCCAAATCAAGACCAAGAGGTGAACTTTTTATTTCTTTTATGATTTGCAACAATCTCTACTCTATGAACTTTTGTGATGATCTAGAAAACTGTCTGGGATTATCTGTAAAATACAATTTTTACTCTAGGGCAGGGGTCTCCAAACTTCAAACAAAGGGCCGGTATACTCTCCTTCAGACGGGCCGGATTAGGGCCAGTGAGGATAGAAAATGTCCTGGCCCCAGTATCAGTGAGAATAAACACGGCCTCAGGGTTGTTGGTCAGTAAGAGGAGGAGTAGTGCCCCATCATTGGTATTAGTGGGAAGAATAGTACACCAGCATTTGGTTTCAATGGCAGAGGTGCTGCTTCATTGTTGGTCTCTGTGGGTGGAATAGTGCCCTAAGGCCCAGATAAAGGGTAGCAAAGGGCCATATCTGGCCCTCGGGCCGCAGTTTGGAGACCCCTGCTCTAGGGTATTTGCCCCTTTTTTTTTTTTTTTTTTTTTTTTTTTTTTTTTTTTTTTTTTTACTTTTTACATGTAAAATATATTGTTTTTTTTTTGTTTTTTTTCCCTACTGGAATCATTTCCCATCATTGAATAGTTACCACATTCTAAAGGCAGTCGAACATGGATTGAAATTCAGCTCGTTCAGCAGGGACTTGCCAAATTTTGATCCATGTATGGGCAGGCTGATTGTACCCAAGTCAAACCATTGAGGAGTACTTGGGTAGGTCATAGCAAGGACATTACCACACTTTAACCAGTATGAATCCTAGTCTTGCAGAAATTGGTTGGATTTGCTTAAGTGTGCCAGGATTTCACATCCCTCCCCTTTTGAGCAGAGGCTCTACATGCTTTAAAGTTAAAAAGACTGACCGTTTTACTTTAAGAATTATTTGCTACATCTCACTTTGCATTGCCACATTAGATGGTACACCCATTATACAAATGTAGCCCTCTAAACATAAAGGTGTTTTAGCTTTCTCCAGATCTATAGTAGCAGAAAAAAGTGTACACTTCCTTTCTTGAGAAACCTCGTTTAATTAACTGGATTGTGTTTCCTCAGGTCAACGAGATTTTGAAGGTTGCCAAAAACAATATAGTAGTGATGAAATTGCTTGCTGGTGGCCACAAAAAGGATTCAAAGGTAATCGTTAAGAATTAAGTAGTGATTTAATATACCCAGTTTGTATTATCCCTATGATGCTCCCTAAAACATCTGGCAGTTGGGGAAGGGTTAGAGCCTTGGTCAAGTTTTGATTATGTGTCCCTCATGTCTTGTCTTGGTGACATGATGACACATGTACAGTAAGCGGGGACAGAGATGGGAAAACAAAAGTTGTTTTTTTTTTTTTTTTCTTTTCTTTTTTTTTTTAAGTGGAGAAGAGTAAACAAGTTAGATATTCTATTTTAATCATCTCTTTCCTGTTGTCATGAGGGCAGGAAGTGGGTGGTAATATTTCAACATGGACACAGACAACAATAGACGTTACAAAACTTCGTCACTCAGTCAAGCTTAGGAAAATGTTTGGGGCTTCAATTTGGTTAAAAGACAAATACTAAGCAAATAATATGAAAGTGTTATGGAAGTATGGTATTTTTCTAGCATTTGCTGGACATAGTAATGCTCAGCTGTCTAATCAGATTCTTTGCCAGTACACCAACATATGTTTGTTCAACACATTTTTGTAAAGTGTAACTAAAGCTGGCTAAACATTAGCAAACTTGTGAAGAAATGTTCTTACGGAAATTCTCATCAGTACATTCACTGAATCGATTATTGTCTTTCAAAAATACTTCAAAAGTTTGTATGCATTTAAAGGAGACGTAGGGACAAAGCTCATTTGACTTTTCTCCTGTAGGTCACAGGAGTGCAGAACCTGCATTTCATTCTGCACTCCTGTGACCCATATTCAGACAACAACGGGCTAAAACCCTCTGTCGGCTGACATCACTCAGTTGGTCCAGACTCTGGAGGAATCCAGACTTGAAGGTTGATCCACCCAGATGCCTCAGTCTCTCAGCACACTGCTGCGATCCTAAGCCAGCTGCCCTCACCACCTGCACAGCTCGGCTCTCCAGTGAACGCTGGAGGGGCAGAGCAAAGGGCTAGTGACTGACAGCTCTCAGTCTTCAGTGAGCAAGGAGCTGGTGACTGAATGATCAGAGGTCTTTGATCTCTCAGTTCTCGGTCTTGGGAGAGGTGGGGTTCAGATACAGCACCTAACCAATGCCGCATCCACCTAGGAGAGTATGCAGGTTTATTTTTTTAAAAACGCGCACTTCTCTTTTAACCACTTGCTTGCTGAGCCAATTCTGACATTTCTCACATTCATGTAAAAATCTGCATTTTTTTTTTTTTTTTTTTTGCTAGAAAATTACTTGGAACCCCCAAACATATTTATGTTTTTTAAGCACAGGTCATAGAGAATAAAATGGTGGTGGTTGTTGCAATTTTATGTCACATGGTATTTGCACAGTGGTTTTTAAAAATGCAAATTTTGGGAGGAAAAATGACACTTTAATGAAAGTGAACACAAACACCATATAATACCCAATGTTTTGATAGAATATAAAAGTTATGCAGAGCAAGTAGTTATCAAACACCTCATTTTAAATTTGTGCCTGGACTGGCGACAAACTATGGTACATTATATTATCCATATGAGATGTTTTTAAAGTCTATACAGGTTACCAGTTTAGAGTTACACAGGAGGTCTGGCCTCAGAGTTATAATGGGATAAAGCGCCACAAAAATTTGTTAATCACACAAACTAAAGTGCAGCTCTCAGTCCAATACCCCCCTGGGTATGCAAGTCTTTGGAATACGAAGTGGTGCGCTTTTGCTGGTATAACAATTTTCCTATTTTCCCATCAAGATCTCCTTTCCCAAAGTGTGTCGTATGCCATATAATCTCTCGCTCTCCTGTGATCTTCCAATGTGCTGATCCAAATCTCCAAAGGAAAAAAAACTAATATAGTGTAGTATTTCTTATACTCAAAAATTACATATGCAGCTATGTGCAATATAGTGTACAATACTTAAAAAATGTGCACCACTCTTCCCCTAAATACTCTTACCCTCTAAGGGCAAAAATTTTCACCCTTGAAAGGGTAAGAGTATTTAGGGGAAGAGTGGTGCACATTTTTTATGTATTGTACACTATATTGCACATAGCTGCATATGTAATTTTTGAGTATAAGAAATACTACACTATATTAGTTTTTTTCCTTTGGAGATTTGGATCAGCACATTGGAAGATCACAGGAGACAGAGAGATTATAGGGGATACGACACATTTTGGGAAAGGAGATCTGGTTTCAGAGTTACTGCTCTTGCTGTGACATTCATGGTGATACTATGTGTGGTGAGATTGCTCTTTTACATGTGTGGGACTGGCATGTGCGTGAGCACAGAGGGAACTTTCAATTTTTAAAACATTTTATTTAAATTTATTTTTTTAACACTGTACCTCATTTTTTTAATCCACTTTATTGCTATCACATATGATGAGCAACATCCCTTGTGATAGAATACTATCTCTTTATGGAGAGATCTGGAGTCTCATAGACCCCCGATCTCTTCTCTGGCCTCAAAACCAACAGATCAAATTGGGATTGCCTGGGAAAGACGGTAAGGGCCTCTATCGCTACCTGTAGAAGTAGTTGAGTGGCTCTACAGCTGCTTGGATCGCTTCTACAATAAAGGGAATCGCCTCCTGAAAATGTTGATGCGGGGATGATGCCTGTATCTGCATATGACATCCACTTAAGTGGTTAACTTTCAATTTTGGAATGAATGTCATTTCCCATATGAAAACCCCTCCCACCCCCACATCTGCTTTGTCCACCAGACATAGCGGAATGAGAATCCCAGTAAGTGGGACCTGGTGGTCATGTGATTGAACTACTCTGATGAAAGTATTTAAAAATGTTTTTAAAAAAAAATTGAGACAATTTTTTAGTGTGTGTGTGTCTGTCTGTGTCCCCCCTACTGCCCTATGTGGTCCAGAGAGAGATTGAACACGGCACTTAGTGAAAGCACTACATATTACATGCACACGTTAGACTAGCCCATTTAACATTGTAATCGCCCTATCCGTGTCATTAGTACAGTGTCAGTATATAGAATTTTTCACTGATCGCTAGCGACATCAGATAGCGTCAGGTTCACTTAGCACCCCTTCCAGCCAGGGTCAGCTAGCGTTAGGTTACCCGCACACTATCGCATTCATGCTATAGGTCACTAATCACCGCCATTACTAGTATAGGGTTTGTACAGATCAATGTATTGATCACAAACAGTACTATACTAGTGCCTCCTTTGTATAGTGTCCCCAAAAAAAACGCTACCAGCACTAGTGTTTAGCCCCTCTGCTGTTTTTCACGGAAGATTTGTGTCAGTTGATTGTGGGCCAAAGCAATTTATACACACAACAATACTGCCTAACAAAATTCAGCTCTTGCCAGACAATTCGCATGGAAACCTATCGCAGTTTCCGAATGGAAAACTTTTTTGGGCCTAACCCTCAACATGGACATGACAAATATGACCGCAATTCCATCTTCTTTGTACACAGATCCGATTCATCATATGCCCATGTTCTCTGATGTTACATACAGTTGTGTACAAAATAATAGCAGTCAGACATCACTAACCTGATCAATCACTGTTTTTGGTAGAAATGATATTTCTACATGGCAAATAATTACTAACAGGTGTAGTAGAGTAATAGAAATCCAACAGACCCAACAGTCATGACATGCATGCTGCTGATTCTGTGTAATTGAATCACTAATTGAAAGGGGGATGTTCAAAATAATAGCAGTGTGGAGTTCTATTAGTGAGGTCATTCATTCTTTGAAAAACAGGTGGCAATTATTGCCCTTATTTAAGGAAGGAAGGCAGCAAATGTTGTACATGCTGGTTACAGTGCATTTCTCTCTGAAATTCTGAAAATGGGTCGTTCTAGACATTGTTCAGAAGAACAGCGTACCTTGATTAAAAAGTTGATTGGAGAGGGGAAAACATATAAAGAAGTGCAGAAAATGATAGGCTGCTCAGCTAAAATGATCGCAAATGCTTTAAAATGGCAACCAAAACCTGAAAGACGTGGAAGAAAGCGAAAAACTACCATTCGAATGGATAGAAGAAAAGCCAAAATGGCAAGGACTCAGCCAACAATCAGCTCCAGGAAGATCAAAGAAGGTCTAAAGTTACCTGTGAGTACTGTTACAATTAGAAGACGCCTATGTGAAGCCAAGCTATCTGCAAGAAGTCCCCGCAAAGTCCCACTGTTGAAAAAAAGACGTGCTGAAGAGATTACAATTTGCCAAAGAGCACATTGACTGGTCTAAAGAGAAATGGCGCAACATTTTGTGGACGGATGAAAGTAAGATTGTTCTTTTTGGGTCTAGTGGCCGGAGACAGTTTGTCAGACGACCCCCAAACACTGAATTGAAGCCACAGTACACTGTGAAGACAGTGAAGCATGGTTGCACAAGCATCATGATATGGGGATGTTTCTCATACTACGGTGTTGGGCCTATTTATCGCATACCAGGGATCATGGATCAGTTTGAATACATCAGAATACTTGAAGAGGTCATGCTGCCTTATGCTGAAGAGGAAATGCCCTTGAAATGGGTGTTCCAACAAGACAACGACCCCAAACACACCAGTAAACGTGCAACATCTTGTTTCCAGACCAACAAGATTGACATTATGGAGTGGCCAGCCCAATCCCCGGAAATCCAATAGAAAACTTGTCGGGTGACATCAAAAATGCAGTTTCTGAGGCAAAACCAAGAAATAGAGAAGAACTGTGGAATGTAGTCCAATCATCCTGGGCTGGAATACCTGTTCACAGGTGCCAGAAGGTGGTTGACTCCATGCAACACAGATGTACAGCAGTTCTCAGAAACAGTGCTTAAACAACTAAATATTCATTAAGTGATTCAAAGGAAAGCAAAATCTTCAAACATTTTTCAGTTTATATAGTGAATGTTTGAGTTTGTAAAGAAGAATACAAACACTGCTATTTTTTTGAATAGTCTAATATTCACTTTTCTTCAATTTTTTTTTTTTTTTTAGAGGAACAACACAAATTTGATCTATTTTTCTTCCTGTTTTGATTTGGAATAGAATGTGTAGTGTTCCCAATGCATTTGTGTGTATGGAAATAAAAGCTATTAGAAGGATTTTGAGCTTTATTCACTTTTTTCAACACACTGCTATTATTTTGAACACAACTGTATGTGCCCTATATGGATCAGCAACGTAATGGTACTACTTTGAGTAGTTATACCAGGATGATGCCTGCAGCTACACCCCTCCCCCACCCCTTTCAAGGTTTTTTGGGCTTTCTCGTCTCACAGGGGAACCCAAAAATGCAGCCGGCAGTTCCGCTGCCTGACAGTAGAGCTGATAGGAGACTGGAATGCCTCCAATTATGCTCGTAGCCTCCAGTCTCTTAGACCACAGAGATTTCAGAATTTCCGTTTCACCAGATATAAACAGCTCCATTTTAAAATTGAGAAAGCATCTGATCACAGCGGTCTTGGTGTGATCAGATGCTTTGAGGGTAGAGGAGAGATCTAGAGTCTTAATAGACCCCAGATTTCTCAGAAAAGAGTACCTGTCACCAGGGGCAGACTGACCATTTGGAAACCCGGGGCACTGCCCGAGGTCAGTAGGGGGCCCCATGAGATGCCCCTGGTACCTTTTTTTTCATAGGCATTTTTGAGTGTGGGCAAGAACACAGGGGCCCCATGATCCCCTATTGCCCGGGGGCCCCATGAGTTGTCAGTCCGCCCCTGCCTGTCACTGCCTATTGCTATTTACAGGCGATATTTACATTCCCTGTGATCACAATAAAAGTGATTGGAAAAAAATTAGACAGTGTAAAAATTATTTAAAAACCAAAATACATAATTAAAAAAATGCACCCCCATCCATCACGTGGCAGTATGTAAACAGAGATTGTACCATGCATGTGAGGTATCACACGTGAACATCCGATTGAAGGCAGTAATGCTAGCACTAAACATCCTGTGTTGAAATCTAAAGTGGTAACCTGTAAAGGCTTTTAAAGCATCGCCTATGGATATTAAAAATGTATGGCATGTGTTGCCATTGCACGGGAATGTGCAATTTTAAAGCATGTCATTTTTGGTATCCATTTACTCTGCATAACATCATCTCTTTATATGTTATCAAACAATTGGGCAATATATTGTGTTAAAAAGTGTATTGTTTCCAAAAAAGTTGTGTTTGAAAAATCGCTGCGCAAATGCTGTGTGACATAAAAAATGTCAACACCCACTGTTTTATTCTCTAGGGCCTCTGCTTAAAAAAAAAAAATGCATTTATATATCTTGTTCGGGGTTCAAAGTAATTTTCTAGCGAAAAAACTTTTCCCAAGTAAACAGTCAGAAAAGGCTTGGTCTTCAAGTGCTTAGAAAAGTGGGTGATATCTGGCATAAGCTTCTAATGTTGGCCCTGAAATGCTGGGATAGTAGAAGTAACCCTCCCCCCAAATGACCCCCTTTTTGGAAAGTAGACACTCCAAGGTATTTGCTAAGAGGCATGATGAGTATTTTGCTGATCTCATTTGTTGCCACATGTTTTTAGAAAACAAAGAAAGAAAATACAATTTTTTCTTTTATTCCTTTGATAAAAATATCTGTAAAATATTCACCATGCCTCTTGTCACAGGATTTTGAAAAGGAGTAAAAGAAAAGAAGAAAAACATTTTCATTTTCTTTCTTCGTTTACCAAAAGCTTGTGGCAACCAATGAGATCTGCAAAATACTCACTATGCCTCTTATCAAATTCCTTGGGTGTCTACTTTCCAAAAAGGGGTCATTTGTTTGTAAACGCCAATACTTTCACACAAGCCGATTTTAAGGTTTTTTTTTTTTTTTTTTTTTTTTTTTTTTTTTTTTCCCCCCCGAAGACATGTAGCAGAATACACATTTTGGCCTAAATTTGACTAACTTTGAGTTTACTATATATTTTTTTTTATAACCAAAAGTTAAATTTTTTTTTTTTTTTAATTTGATATCTTAAAAAATAAAAAAACCATTGGTGATCAAATACCACCAAAAGAAAAAAAAAGGACTTAAATTTTGTTTGGGTACAGCATTGCATGACCGTGCAATTACCAGGTGAAATAGAACAGTGCCTAATAGCAAAAAATGGACTGGTCATGAAGAGGCGTAAATCTTCCAGAGGGCAAATGGTTAAAAGTGTCAGACATGAAATATGAACAAAGCACATCCCTTTATAGAATGTACTTGTCTCAATCTAGAGCACAAAGTACCATTTCTCACTGTCCCTTCCCTGCAATCAGCTCTCAGCATTCTTACTAAGCTTCGCAGAATGCAACGGCAACTCCCTGTCCCCTGCTTTTCAGAGCTGAGACATTCTGTATAAATTGTGCACCTTGAATGGATGATTTTTGTTTCATCTCCGTGCATCAGTTGAGGACAGTCACCTCACTGGGTATATGTGAGGGTTTACAACCGGTTTAATAAGTTTGCAAATATCAAAGCAAACCTGTCTAGTCTTTGAGGCATTTTAATTTGAATAAAATGTTGTTGTTTTTTTTCCCATATTGTTTTATGCAGATTCCACCCGAGTTTGATTTCTCTGCACACAAATACTTTCCTGCGGTAAAACTGGTATAAAGAATCAGCAGAAGAAGAGACACTGTAATCCATCGTCCATGGAGTGTGGTTTTGGTCTGTGTGTGTGTGGTGACTGCAGGGCCCATTGTAAAGACAAATTTTTCTTTTTTAATGCACTGGTTACTTTTTATGTAAAGCCACAAGATGTGGACCCGTTTTGTAAATCAGCTATGTTGGATCTATTTCATGTGTGCAAAGGCCTTTGTTTTTCATTAAATATTTAAAATACAGTGTGGTTTTATTTAGATTTTGTTTTAGCGCCGGTTTTTGTTTTCCTTTCTAGACCCTTAGGACTTGGTTACACAGGGTGTATGTATTTGTGCTGCCTGTATACCTGCACGGGGATTCACTGGTATTCCATGTGAGTCCAAGGCAAAGCACCCACACAGATGTCAGATTGAGAAGCAATGGCTGTGTCCATGCAGTCACTGTGCCCCTATTGACGGGTATGGGATTGCCTGTACAGGGATGCACAGGATACATATATCCTTGTGCTGTTACACAGGGCATGGAAGCGTACACTTTGTGTGAATGAGGCCTTAGGTAAAGCCACATGGAGGGATTCTCCCTCTGAGAGACCCTCCTTCGCCCTGTACTGGGAACAGTAATCTGGCTTAGCTTGCACATGACATTGAAGATTATGTATTAGAGAAAGCATAACACTTTGTTGACCAAGTCCTTTCTTTTCTCCATTAGAAGATTGGAATTGAGGATATATTTTGTGGCTGTAGCCAACAAATGCAAGTTCTAAACATACCAAGATGGCCAGTAACACCTTGGGCAATGTGTACTCTCACCTACCTGAAGTATATACAGGTGAAACGCGAAAAAATTTGAATATCGTGCAAAAGCTCATTTATTTCAGTAATGCAACTTAAAAGGTGAAACTAATATATGAGATAGACTCATTATATGCAAAGCAAGATAGTTCAAGCCATGATTTGTCATAATTGTGGATTTGGGGTTTTCATGAGCTGTAAGCCATAATCATCACAATCTCAGAAAATTACATGCAATCAATAAAACAAGGATTGTACATAGAACAATATCGGACCTCTGAAAAGTATAAGCATTCATATGCACTCAGTACTTGGTTTGGGCCCCTTTTGCAGCAATTACTGCCTCAATGCGGCGTGGCATGGAAGCTATCAGCCTGTGGCACTGCTGAGGTGTTATGGAAGACCAGGATGCTTCAATAGCGGCCTTCAGCTCTTCTGCATTGTTCGGTCTCTCGTCTTTCTCTTGGCAATGCCCCATAGATTCTCTATGGAGTTCAGGTCAGGCGAGTTTGCTGGCCAATCAAGCACAGTAATCCCCCACGGTCATTGAACCAGGTTTTGGTGCTTTTGGCAGTGTGGGCAGGTGCCAAGTCCTGCTGGAAAATGAAGTCAGCATCCCCATAAAGCTTGTCTGCGGAAGGAAGCATGAAGTGCTCCAAAATCTCCTGGTAGACGACTGCGTTGACCCTGGACTTAATGAAGCACAGTGGACCAACACCAGCAGATGACATGGCTCCCCAAATCAACACAGACTGTGGAAACTTCACACTGGACTTCAGCATCTTGCAGTGTGTGCCTCTCCATTCTTCCTCCATACTCTGCAAAAGTTGCTCTCATCAGAGAAGAGGACTTTGGACCACTAACAGACCAGGTCTGTTTTTCTTTAGCCCAGGTAAGATGCTTTTGACGTTGTTTGTTGTTCAGGAGCAGCTTGACAAGAGGAATACAACATTTGAAGCCCATGTCCAGGATCCGTCTGTGTGTGGTGGCTCTTGATGCACTGACTCCAGCCTCAGTCCACTTCTTGTGAAAGTCCCCAACACTTTTGAATGGCCTTTTCCTGACAATCCTCTCCAGGCTACGGTCATCCCTGATGCTTGTGCACCTTTTTCTTCCACACTTTTCCCTTTCATATAACTTTTCTATTAATGTGCTTTGATACAGCACTTTGGGAACATCCAACTTCTTTTTGTAATTACCTTTTGAGGACTTCCCTCCTTGTGCAGAAAACCATCATTGACACCCTCCATAACTGTCAGGTCAGCAGTCTTTCCCATGATTGTGATTCCTACTGAACCAGACTGAGAGACCATTTAAAAGGCTCAGGAACCCTTTGCAGGTGTTATGGCTTAATTAACTGATTAGAGTGGGACACTTTGAGCCTAGAATATTGCACCTTTCCACAATATTCTAATTTTCTGAGATTGTGGATTTGGGGTTTTTATGAGCTGTAAGCCATAATAATCACAATTATGACAAATCACGGCTTGAACTATCTTGCGTTGCATATAATGAGTCTATCTCATATATTAGTTTCACCTTTTAAGTTGCATTACTGAAATAAATGAACTTTTGCACGATATTCTAATTTTTCGAGTTTCACCTGTAGAGGACATTATGAGGGGATATGCCTCTTTTAGATTATACTCCACTTGTTGGCTAGCTCGAAGGCGTTTCAACCTGTGCTTTGATCAGTGGCATTGGAATGGCATTCAGTTTGCTTGCCAAGGTTGTACCCTTTGAAGAGTATGTTCTACAAGCCAATTATGGGCAGCTATCAGGATATAAATACAGTAGCTGCCACTGGTGACTCATTTTTGAAAATGCAATTTCTGGGCCCATTGCCCTTTTCTATGTTTCCCTGTTTGGTCACTTATTTGAAAAAAGAAAAAAAAATATCCAGATAAGTAATCTCCATCCCTGGTTTTGACCACCAACTCATGAAGTAAAGTCAAATTTACCCCATCAGTATGCTCATTGTACATACTGTACTTGATGGTAGACAGCAGCAAAACCCTTCAAAGCCTGCCCCTTGATATACCAATGTAATTAGTTCTTGCTACATCTCTAGTGTGTGTGTGCACAGTTGAACAATTTTGCTTTGTAAGAATAAATCACCTCTGTTTCCTAGGTGTGTGGATGCTGCTACAATATGTAAAACTATATAGTTTTATTTTACATTTAGGGGTACCTTAAGATTGAGATTTTCCACAATTCCCAACTTTTGTCAGTCAAGGCACATTTTCCCAAAGATTCATGCAGGTGAAATTTAATCCTGGGCACCCCATACATCTAGAAAACATGCATAAAACTTGTGCCAGCCAAAACTCAGGGTACCATCATACCATGGGTTTTTGGTGTGGTGCGATTTAAAAAAAAACAAAAAAAAACACACCAGCACCTATGTTTCCATTTTTTTTTTACAGCCATTGGAATTCTAGGGGTGCCCTTAAAAGCATGCACTTAGGTACACCTCTTGGTGTGAATGAGCCCTAGTAGTGTACAACCACTACCGGTCAGCCTGTACAAATCATTGTACTCCTGAAATGGCTTGGGTTTGTCTGTCTGTACATACATACTTCTGTGAGATTGTATGTGCGAGTTCACCCCTCACTTTTTGTAAATATTTTATTATCTTTTCATGTGACAACACTGAAGAAATGACACTGATAAAATGTAAAGTAGTGAGTGTACAGGTTGTATAGCAATGTAAAGTTGCTGTCCCCTCAAAATAACTCACACAGCTAAATAAGCGGCGTTCCACCTGGGGGCAGCGGGTACCCAAAATTGACAGGTACCTGCTCCCACTGCCGCTGCGGTCGCCTAGGCGATTAGAAACGGAAGTTGTTCACCTACCCTCCCTTGCCGTAGTCTTGTGGCACACGTGACAGGTCCCAGTAGATGGGGCAATTTGGGAAGCACAGTGCTACTCGCACATGTGCAGTGGGCACGCAGCTGTGAAGCCGCAAGCTGTCACAGCCAGGTGCCCACACTGAAGATGCCGGCGCCTGGAACACAGGACTGCCGGTGAAACAAGCTGTGGTGGGGGTACCACGGGATAGGTGAGTGGTTGTTTTTTTAAAAGTCAGCAGCTACAGTTTTTGTAGCTGCTGCCTTTTTTTTTTTTTTTTTTTTTTTTTTTTCTAAAGAGTGAGTGGAATTCCGCTTTAATATCTAAATCACTGACAAGTGAGTACACCCCTAAATGAAAATGTCCAAATTGGGCCCAAAGTGTCAATATTTTGTGTGGCCACCATTATTTTCCAGCACTGCCTTAACCCTCTTGGGCATGGAGTTCACCAGAGCTATACAGGTTGTCGCTGGAGTCCTCCATGACAACATCACAGAGCTGGTGGATGGTAGAAGCCTTACGCTCCTCCACCTTCTGTTTGAGGATGCCCCACAGATGCTCAACATGCTTGCTAAGTCCATCACCTTTACCCTCAGCTTCTTTAGCAAGGCAGTGGTCGTCTTGGAAGTGTGTTTGGGGTCGTTATGTTGGAATACTGCCGTGAGGCCCAGTCTCCGAAGGGAGGGGATTATGCTCTACTTCTGTATGTCACAGTACATGTTGGCATTCATGGTTCCCTCAATGAGCTGTAGCTCCCCAGTGCTGGCAGCACTCATGTAGCCGCAGACCATGACACTCCCACCACCATGCTTGACTAGGAAAGACACACTTATCTTTGTACTCCTCACCTGGTTGCCGCCACACATGCCTGACACCATCTGAACCAAATAAGTTTGTCTTGGTCTCATCAGACCACAGGACATGGTTCCAGTAATCCATGTTCTTAGTCTGCTTGCCTTCAGCAAACTGTTTGCAAGCTTCCTTGTGCATCATCTTTAGAAGAGGCTTCCTTCTGGGATGACAGCCATGTAGACCAATTTGATGCAGTATGCGGTGTATGGTCTGAGCACTGACAGGCTGACTCCCCGCCCCTTCAAACTCTGCAACAATGCTGGCAGCACTCATACGTCTATTTCCTAAAGACAACCTCTGGATATGACGCTGAGCACATGCACTCAACTTCTTTGGTCGACCATGGCAAGGCCTGTTCTGAGTGGAACCTGTCCTGTTAAACCGCTGTATGGTCTTGGCCACCGTGCTGCAGCTCAGTTTCAGGGTCTTGGTAATCTTCTTTAAGCCTAGGCCATCTTTAAGGATCTGAAAAAAAAGAATCGTTGCTCTACATAGTTCTTTGCCATGAGGTGCCATGTTGAACTTCTAGTGACCAGTATGAGAGAGTGAGAGCGATTAATACCAAATTTAACACCTGCTCCCCATTCACACCAGAGACCTTGTAACACTAACGAGTCACATGAACCAGGGAGGGAAAATGGCTAATTGGGCCCAATTTGGACATTTTCACTTAGCGGTGTACTCACTTTTGTTGCCAGCGGTTTAGACATTAATGGCTGTGTGTTGAGTTATTTTGAAGGGACAGCAAATTTACACTGTTATACAAGCTGTACACTCACTACTTTACATTGTAGCAAACGGTCATGGCTTCAGTGTTTGTCACATGAAAAGATCTAGATAGATCGCATAGGGCCCTGACCTCCTCTGTAGGTGCTGGGATTCTTATGTTTGCATGTAGCCACCTCCTAGCTTTGATATATACAGGATGCGTGTTGGTGGTTGTATGCTGCACCTGTCACTCCCAGTAGAAAAAAAAATGCAGCTATGTGCATGGAGCCTCATCCATTTTATTTCACATGGACATGTCTGAAAGTCCTTGATAACATTTTTTGGTCACATAAGTAGAGACATACATCTTGTGTCAGAGTTTAATCTCTATTTTAATACAAATACAACAAAAAGGTCATAAATTAAAACAGTTGCTGAACAATTTAACCTACGCCATGAACAATACAGTACTATCCCATTTAAAATTACAAATTATTCCTATGAAAGAAGTAAAAATAAATTGATCTTTAATCTGTTTAAGAAAAGGAAAAAAAAAATAATTAGGAAAAGGAGCACTTACCCTGCATTTCAAAATGTCAGTTTACCTGAACAAGCCCTGGTTCAGGAATTAATTTTAGCTACATTCATAGTACATAGAACACAGTCATGTGTTTGATATTAAGGCACAAAGTCATGCATTTGGTGATTTGTTAATACAGACGCTCAGGTGCACATATTTCTGTAGAAGTGACATAAAAGCTGGCAATTTCAATGTGAATTTGGTTGTATATAACACAAACAAACAATCTAGCCATTACATGAAGGTTAATATGAAAATACTTTTTGAACTTTGATGCTGGGCAATAGAATATGAATCCGCATGGTCATCTATATGAACAGCAGGTGCAATTTGGTTGTCAGAACATACGCTCCAATTGGCTGAAGTACACTACAGGCTCTCCCACTAACCCAGGGGGCATGCACTATGCAAAATACCAGCTTTGCTGTAGATTGCTGTGCAAGCACACTCGGCCATAAAATTCAGGAAATTCATTGCATTGTTGGATGTGGGGGTATATGCTTCGGCACCATAACATGTAAAAAAAACCCCAAAAAAAGCATATCTGTATATTGCATGTACCCCAAGTTCAGCAACAGCTCACCATTGTCCAAATGGAAGGTAAGCATTAACATGTTATGGTGACTGCTATTGCACGATAGTACTGGTTAATACTATACTGTCCAACATTAGGCTGCTTTAGGCCCAAACCCATATTAACAGTTCTTACACACAAGTGCCAAAAGCGGGTGTTCAGTATACCGTGTACATTCTTATAAGCCATATGGCTCAGTAAATGCAGACATACAGTGAAACCTTTGCTTAGCACAGTGTCTAGCTGTGAACTGCCAAAGTCTATTGTCAAAGAATGCCAGGCTTTTCAAACATGCTGTCCAGGGCATATTAGCATCAGTTCCCTACAGCATAATGAACAGTATTTATTACATAGATCGCCAGTGGTAAGTTTCCACAAAGGTCTAGTGGGGAAAGCAGAGAGTGAAGTTATTCCAGGTAGAGACAGAACAACTCAAGGGATAAAATCCCAATTCATGGGAAATAGAAGCAGTTATGTTTTTGTGAACTGAACACTTGATACAGAAATTAAGTAAACAAACCCATGAAAAATGATTTAGTTGGCTTTGTGTAATGACATTATTGTATGATCTGTACACAGACCGTAAATGCAGCACTGGGCTTCTCTTTATCACTTACAAATTGTGAATGGAGTGACACATTTTAGCACAGCCAACATGTCTCTAGCATGCATACCCTGACCATTTAGTGTGTGAATGTTAAACGAAAACGTATCACTTCTTTTGCTGGTGTCTGGAGTGCAGTTGCACCTACACACATACATACGCACAAAAAACAACCTTTATATGTACCAGTAACATATTCTATGTATTATTAGATACTCTAATGTGACAAAGTCAAGCAGAGATATAACCATTACTTAAAGTGGACCTAGATTAAATGTGGGTTCCTGCCAAACACTGGCTCCCTCTATGTTAGTTGTGGTTTAGGTTTGGATCTGCATGAGCCCTTCTTTGTCTTTACCATAGGTAACAGAGGGAATAGGAAGTAAGGCAGTGGCCACTGGGAGCCCACTCCAAAGACAATGGTAGCCTCAAGAGGGACCAAGAAACTTAAGGGTGTTTCTGAATTTAGTTCCACTTTAATTACACCAGAACTGCTATTTCTGTTCATTTCTGTCTAGCTGTCATTGCCATTTGCAGCAGCTCCACTCATGGAGTCACCGAACCAAACAAATATGCAGGTAGGCAGTTGTCACTTTACTAAATGCATGACCCAGTAAGCAGTGGAGATGAGGATAATGGCAAGGCAACAAGATGTAACAATGGAAGTACCCAGTTTTTTGTGTTGACTAACTAGAGCGTTCGTCAATGCTGAACTTTGTAATGGATGTATACTGGGGCAAGGTGAATAACTTAATGACTTTGGAACTTGTAGCGATTCCTAAAGAGAACCAAATTCTGCCCTCCCATAGAGAACCAAGTTCTGCCCTCCCAAAGAGAACCAAATTCTGCCCTCCCAAAGAGAACTAAATTCTGCCCTCTCATACCTTTCGGTCAAGAAGTCTCCCGCCTGCTGCTCATTAATAACGAATTTAAAATAAATCAAAAAAAGGAAAGTGAGGCCTGCTCATAATAGGGAGGGAGGAGGATGGCCCATATTAGCTTGTATACAGAGATCTCACCTTTAGAGTCCCCGAGAGACAGAATATGGTTGTTTATTTTATACAGTATAATACAGTTCTGGGGATGACTAACCTACTTTGGTCTCGCCAGTTTGACCTGGAAAGGCCTGCATTTCTGTTGGCTTGGACTTGGAGCATGTCTAATGTATTGGAAGAACTGGTAACTTCAAACAAGATCTGATGGGAAATAAGTAAATGCATGCTGTGCTGATGACAGACTTTATATCATATGATTGACAGTAAGGCATTAGCTTTTAAATTAAAAAAAAGTTCATGGAGCACTATTCTGAAAAATATTGTAGTCAGATAACTGTATTAAAACGTAATGATAGCATCCAGTAAAAGAATTCCTTTTTTTATATAGGTTTTAAATAACACTGAGGGATGCTTACAACAGCCACCCTTTATTTCCATGGTGTAAATCTACTTTAAAAATTATGAGATAAAAAGGAGTCCATATACTGAATACTGGTGTGTGTATATATTGCCTATATGTCATATAGTTATCAGAATAAAATATTTTCTGCAATAGTGGTTTTTTATTGAAAAACGCCAAATACAAAATTGTTTTAAATAAAGACAAATTAAAACCTTCTTCAAGTCCCACTTGCTTGTGCAGAATTATGCAATTGTCTTGTTGACAGAAAAAGCCTCAAAAAGGGGGCAAAGAACAGTCTGACTTTGTTTCAAGAGTCTTTGTGAATGGGAAAGCGGTTACTTTTAGGTTAGATTGTCGTTGTCCTCTGCTTTTTGATCAGCTGCCTGCCCCTTCAGTCCAAGTTGGATTTTATCATCTGTTAAAAAACAAAATGTGGTTTACTACATAACCCCTATGTGACTCTCACATTTTTTTCATTTATTTGTTTGTAAGAAGCACACTTAAATTATGCCAAAAAGGTTCTAAACTATGCATGTCATTTATAAAAAGGTCACTTCTAGTTAAAAAAACAAAACAAAAACAAAAACATAAAACTGGGGAAATGGAACAGAAACGTACCACCCACTGCAAGCAGAAAGGTCCAAGATAGCATTATTTACTGCCTAATACTTTTTTGAATACAAACATTTGGTTGCTGTGAGTACAACATTTTCCTTTAACAGTCTATGGGAACGGAAAGACAACATTAAAACCGGTTAGCTAGTTCAATATACCCAGGGATACCAAGTCATGTGGCAAATCTCTTTTAGGGCATGTTCACACTTGTGCAGAAGAAAAATGCAGCTCTCTGTAAGAGCACACAGAAAACAAATGGTTCTGTATGTGCTCAGTTCACTCGTCAATGCAGCCTTCAGCTGCAGGGCAGACTTGTGTGCATTTTTCCATACTGCTCTGCAAATAAAAAGGTTGAACTTAGCACAGTAAACCAACATATCAGGAAGTAAAGGACCAAAAAAAAAAAAAAAAAAATAAATGAATGAGTGGTAAAAGATTAGCCTGTACGGTGACAGCTTCCTGAAAACATGAAAGAAAAAAAGAAAACAGCTAAATGCGATACGTAAAAAAACAAAGAAAAAAAAAAAAAACATACAAATGCTGGTAACTTAACAAAAAAATTAAAGTAAAAGCTGGTGAATGCATACGGGTATTTACCTGCACTTTTTATGCGCACAAGTGTGAACCTGTCCTTACACCTGTTTTTTGAGAGATACCATTACATTTTCAGGCCAATGTAACATGCTTTATTCACATCACATCTGTATGCATCTGCAGAACACAAGGCATCTACTCTAAATCAATGTTCAATTCTGTGGGGCTGTTTAGTAAAGGAATAGACACTGTTCCCTTAAACGTTATAGCTTTATTCACTTCAGCCAACCAAATTGTGTGTTCGCAAAAAACCTGTTTCTTGACACCAACATGGCAGCATACATGTGATATAGCTCTGCCCCTATATCCACCCACAGGATCTGTTTAAATATATAAAAGAAAAGCATTCTCCCTTATTGTTGCAGTAAGTCCCTACCTGTCAACTGAGTCGGAGTCCATCTGGGTTCAGCCTCTCCCAGGCGCAGTCCCACATCTTCGATTGCTAAATGTACTAATGAGGCAGGGAGCCCCCTTCTGGTGGTCAGAACCTCATGTGGTGCACCTGAGCTGGTGTTTGGATGCTGCAGCTCAAGCTGCATGTGCATCTCGGCACACCTGAGCTGAATTCTGGTGCTGGAGTTCGAGGTACCTTTTTCTTTATCCCACAGGTTTGTGCTATTTGTTTATCCTTGCCTCTACCCAGCAGTTTCCTTTCACCTGTGGCATTCCCTGTGACCAGCGTGCATGAATGGTCCAGTCCAGGTTTTGTGGTTATTTCCGATCCGGCTATGGAGTCTGCGCATACACTGCAGAAGGCCTCTTGTGGCGACCATCTTTGTTATGGGCATGTCCAGGCTCAAGCATGTGCAAGGTGGGTTTGCACCGGAAAGATCTTGTTTTAAAGATCTCCTGTTTTACCTTGCTAATGCTGCAGGTGAATGGTGAGGGGTGGGGGGGAGCCGATTCAGGCACATGTCTATAATCTGTCATTTTACTTTCTGTGCAGTGCTGCCATACTTGCTCCAACAAGACCTCCATATGCTCAGGTAGGGACCATCAGTGTGGTAAGAGAAGGGAAAAAAAAAAAAAAAAAAAAAAGGGAGTACCATTCTATGAGCGTGGCTTTTGTCTTCTGGTACAACCTAGCCTGCTCTTGCTTAAGGTCAAGCTAAAGGAGCGTTGTCGTATCATGACGAATCTGATGTGGACAGTGGCTCATCCAGCCCTAAAGGTCTAGTCCAGGATCCGCATAAAGTTCTCAGCGAGTATCAGCATTCCTCCTGCCCCTGTGCACCAATAGCAACAAAAGGGTAAGAAGTGTTGTGAGTCTGGTAATAGGTCCTCGCCCCAAGCACATGTCTGTGGATATTGCCAGCTCTCTAAGGGCAAAGGATGCTGAAATCTAGCAAGTCATGGCCCTTCAAGGAAGTAGTTAATGAGTCTTACAGCGTTCTCAGGCCACTTATGCCAGCAGACTCCAAGCACAAGAGGCTAAGCAGGTTGAGTGTCTCTCGGGTCCAGTCATTTAATAGGGTGGTTAAGCAGACTCAGAATGGGATAACCCAGATGACTGCCTTCAAAGTTAGAACATGCTTAACGTTTTCAAGCCATGGCCTTCCATTCTCCCCAATGAAAGAATGAAAAGGTTGATTCAAGAGGAGTGGCAGTAGTGGTATGAAGTTTTACACAAGTCAGCAGCGGCAAAACTATACCCTTACTAGGTGGAAAAACGGTGCTTCTCTGTTCAAAAGAAAAGCACTGTAACATGCTAATGCACTCACACATTATAGCACTGCACCCCACTGCAAAAAGGCGAGGATGCTACCATTATGCATTTTGTCAGGAGAGTTATTCTTCCTAGTTAACATTTATTTTACGTTCGCTGTGTCCTCAATCGAGGAATTGACAGATCTAAGATTCATTTCAACAGGTAGAGGGCGCTTGTAATCCAGTGATCACAGTACGTTGTGGCAAGTGCAATATAGTTCACCATTACACATGTTTTGCCAAAAGAGCAAGTTTCTAGTGCTCTGGTGAGCTTATGCGCATGGCGGTTTTTGTGGATGAAATAGCTTTTGTTATAAATGTACCCCTAAGGCAGTGCTGCATTCAGTGACAACAAAGAGTGCTATAAGACCCAATCCTTCGTCAACAAACCCAGGCAGGGTGGTTGTATGTGCCTGTATGACGACAAGTTTTTCCCTCCAGAAGTTGGATGTGACTATTCCAAGAAACTCAACGCTGCTCAACCCTGCATGTCTGTTGAGCAGATGGATGGTGCTTGCAGTCAGCCCGATTGCCGTATAACCGTGTTTAAGTTTCCTAGAGCGGCACACATCCTTGTAACTTTTAGTCATGCTCAATAAAGATTGAGCGGCATTCCATGTACATCTCAAAGCTAAGCACTATTCTAAGAGCAAAATCGGTGGTTAGTCTGGCCTTTCCCCTCATTAGAGGTAGAGTCTTTGGGGAGTTCTCTCTGCTAGGTTGGCCCAGTCTAAATTCCAGGACTCAGGATCCTTTTACCAGAATGGAAAACTTCAAATGTGGATGGAAAGGTATGCAAGGGCAACTTTCTGAAGAACTCACAGCCATGGTCATTTTTGATCCCTTCATCACCTACAGGAGTCTTGTTGACAGTAGACCCCCCCCCCCCCCCCCTAGGCTAGTGTTGTGGGGGCCAGGGTGGTCGATTGTGAGCAAAGATGGTAAAGCCCAGTTTTGGGATCTGTGGATGCCTTCTACAGTAAAATTCTATTACTTTTGGTGGTTCAGACACAACGCTCCAAAACATTTCTTCATCCCAACCAGAATAGCACATTCCACTCAGGAGGTGGATGTCCTCTCAGTACATCAATATTGTAAGCCTGCAAAGGGCAATGATTCTAAATCCTCCCTCCAAGAGATTTACAGGTTTTTATTTTCCTCTGTTTCATACAAAGAAGATCAGAGACTGGAGACCAGTGTTGAAGAAACTCAGTATCAGTTGGAGATGGACATTTCTAGTTCATGTGCCTTCCATTAGGCAAAATTTAGAGGAGGAAGCTACAGCAAAACATTGTCACTTGTAGTGTCAAGGTCATCCAGTAAACATACAGTGAGACTAGGCAAGAGCCTCCAGAAGTGGTAGAAGCTCATTCAGCTAGGTTCAGTTCTAGGTCTTGAAGTTCAAGGCAGCTTATGCAAAATGTTTATGGAGATATCTGCAAAGCAACAGACTGGTTTCTGCAGTGCACCCGCCTCACACACTACAGGAAAGATCTAATGGCTTGTACATCAATGGGCTTCACCAGAATTAATGGTCCAGGCTTCCATGTCCATTATAATAAAGTTTGATTATACATTTTTAGCCCTCCCTGTATAGCCCGTTATTTATCACATGTATGCTGCCATGTTGGCGTCAGGAAAACGGAAAATTGTATCAGATACTTATATAATTTTTCCTTGCTATTTTTAATGGAGAATAGCGGAGGTTGCTCTTGCTTTCCTTCTACAGATTTAAAACAGGTCCTGTGGGTGGATTTAGGGGAGGAGTTAAATCACATGTATGCTGCCATGGATTGGCATCTGGAAAGGAAAATTAAGTGTTTGATACAATTTTCCATTTTGTTTTTTAAAGTTGTATTGTACACAGATGGGTTTTCAAAGTGAAAAAACGGTTCAGCATATTTACCATCATTCACTTTGCACTGCACTTTTCATCTTAACCATTTCCTCTAGTTCTTTAGTAAAGTAACCTCATTCATTGTACGAGTGAATAAGGGCAATACATCTCAGAAATCATCATTTTGACTTCTAAAGTTGGTCATACATAGTTCAGCCAGCGGACTGAACGAAAAATAAAAAAAAAAGGGGGACCTGTAATAAATAAAAAAAGAACAGATTCATCCTTCCACAAAAGCGAGGTGGATGGAGAATTCCTCCTACCACCGGGACATTGTATTCTGTCAGCTGCACCCACCACTGTCAGAATACACTGATCAGCGATTGATCAAAAAAAAAAAACAAAACAAAAAACAAAAAAACTTAACGACATGTTCCTTTGACAGAGACAATTGACTTCTGTCGAGTGGGGACTGCCGCACAAATTTTAATCAGTGTATGGCCATCTTAAGACAACAACTTAAAAAGAGATTTGAAACAAATAAACTGTCTGTAGTTAAGATACAGATACTCTGAATGTAAACAAAGCAGGGTTTAAAAATATCTGGGCTTGTAATGACTGCTGAAGAAAATGTAAGAAGCTGCATTTGTGAAGTTGATTGGTGTCCCTAGATATATTTACAGCGCATGTTAACATACACCTATCATTTAACTGAATCCCTGATCAAATTACTTCAGCATCCAACAGATCAAACCTGTTTCTTGCATAAATCCTATATAGAAATACTGGAAGGCTGGCATTGGTTGAAATATAAAATACTATTCTTCGTATTACATCCAAACTAAACTCCCAAAAGAGAGTAAGTTCCAGATGAACGAACGCACGCACGCACACACACACACACACACACACACCTACCTTTGTGGTTTTTTTTTTTTGGTTATTTACCCTACTGCTGCCACCATTCTGGTCCTGTGGTCTCCTGGGATACTTGCATCACATCTCTCAGGGAGCTGCAGGATTGGTACACAGTAGTCTGTGGGGGTGGGATGGAGGGCGGGTCTATCAAGTCATCAGAGCCGGCTGCTTGCAGCCAGCTAAAAAGGATCAAGAGACATGGGGCCCAATGTATGACACCCGAACAGCAGATTGCTGCAGGATAAAGCTGGATTCATTGTGTGAGTACGTGCTTTGAAGAGCATTACAGGAAAGTGGGAAAAACCATGGGGGTTCGAGCATCACTTTAACTAAGCTATACAATAATAATAACATAATAGAAATGCTGGTGAGGGAGAACCTACGTTAAAGTAAACTTTATAATAATGACTAAAGAAATGTTACAATGATCATATAATGATCAAGTGATCATATTTTATCATCAATATCATTATCCAGTCCTTGTGTAAAGCATTACGATATTACGCATCAGTAGACCTTCACAACACAACCCAAACTCCTGATCTGGGGACAAATAGAAATCATCTGTGTTGTATAATATCATCTGTGTTGTATAATATCATCTGTGTTGTATAATATCAAGTATCACATATCTCTGCCATTTTCTTCAAGATGAAAAGGAGGATGTTTTTCTGTTGTAACCCCTCACTGTTTGTGTTACTGACAAGTATGCTTTAATTGGTGCAGTATGTCACATTCAGGTACATAAAAGTTGAAAATACCTTTTACGATCTGTTTTATGTCAATCAGCTGAGCCTGTTTTTCTGCCTCAGATTCTGCTACATTTGCTTCATCCCCATTGTAGTCATTTGGGTTCTCTGCATCTTCTTCCTGTTCATTCTGTTTTACACCTTAAAATAAGGAGGAAATATCTTCAATCAAGCACCAATCATGCTAATCAAAAAGCAGCATTTTGAAGTGTTCTCCACTGATGGTTGTTGCTGCATTCATGTGTCAGATTAAATCTTTTCTTACAATACATGGAATTATTTTCACTTTGATCAATTCGTCTAATAATTTCACATTAATGAGACCCCAGCTGTTCTCTTGTAAAGGGCTAAACATCTGTACACTACTGTGCAGCTGACTTCTTGGAAAAATGTCTTCTAATATCATTCCCTGGTTATAAGTTGCCATTATTCGTAAAATATCAATTACCAAAACACCATAATCTTTTTCTGGAGTTAAAGTGACCCTGTTATTTACCTCTCCTGCTTCTAGTGCCACCAAATGCCACTTCATTGAAAGATGATCTTCCACCAAAACCTGACCCTTCTGGCTACACATTTGCTTTTAGAAGTACAGCATGTCCCTCAGTTGACATTATGTGGCCCATTCATTTATTTGGCCCCCTTCTTTCACTGGTATTTGACATACTTGCTTCAAAATGATGATCAATACGGACACTGCCCATTCTAAAACATATATGTTGAGGGGTATAGGACATTTGGTGGAAACATCAAGTTAAGTCACTCTAAAAGAAAAAAAAAAAAAAAAAAAAAAAAAAAGAAGGAGGAGGAGATAGCTGTGGGTATATACAGTATGGGTCTTAAAATGCTGTGTACTTATTGGATATATAATTTTTTATATTTGTCTTGTGATTTTAACACAGGACAAAGACAACCTCAAAAAATTCTAACCTTCCCTTATTCTAGCAACAGGGTTTTTGCTGCTGTGTGTGCCTACTGGAAAAAGATCCTATCATTTCCTGTCTTTCCGAATCTCCTTTTCACAGGAAAAGAGAGCAAGAGGAAATCTGCTCAGTGAGGACACAAGCAACAGTAAAAACAGAGGATTTAACCATAACCCTTTGGATGCAGCAATTTTCCACTGCTAAACTGTCATGTGAATATAGCCTAAAAGTTATCATTCAAGGCATGCCTGGAATGTAACCGTTTTGGGAAACAATTAAATCTATGGGTTTAGCTCCACTTTGGAAGGGTTAATGCAACTGTCAACTACTAAGGTTCAAGATTCTCAACATGCAATACTTTGCCCCAAGGGATATGTAAGGCACCCCTGCAGAGGGTGCACAGTTCCAATTTATGAGGTTCATAAGGTTACCTGAAGTTTTTCTGTTGCTTAGCAATGGGCTTCCAAGTGATCACAGTGGCTGAAGATGAAGAATGAAGATGTTAAGCCTCTGCCTGTGACCTTCATGTCGAAAATACCAGCACTCCTTCATGCAGCAGCCACCAACCACCACACACACCAGAACCTTAATTTTTAAACTATGTTGCTCAGAAGGTGGATGAAATTTAAATGGGAGACACACAAAATCTGAGTGTGAAGTAGGTGCAAGAAGGAAAGTCGTGTCTTGGGGGTTCATGGGAAAGTCTGACTGTGGAATAGGATAGCTGTAAATTCGGGGGGAGATTATGTCGTTTGGGAATCAGGCTACTGGTGGGTGGAGACTGCACTTGGATTTTGCTGGTACAGGTAGCTATATACAAGTAGCTGGTCCTGATGTGGTGGTGTTATGGCAACATGCAAACTTGCAATTTGGAGGTTACTGTTGACTCCATGTTTGCGTGCTTTGGTTTTCTCAGTCCTTGAAACACTAGATCAGAATGATTTAGTAGATCACATGGAGCATCTACCAGGAGTGTCACTAGGTAAAAAGGTACCACATCTCAACAGTACATTTACAATTGCCTATGGGATTTCTTGAGGTACATCACAATAACAAGATACATGAACGAAAGGATTTTTAGTTCTAGATAAGCAATAAAAATAATCTTTATATAGAGCACACCTTTGTAAAAACAAGCTGATTTGCTGTAATTGTATTTATAATTTAATATCTTATTCACAAGTACTTGTATTGGGAGTAAATGCTACTGATGTGGATGTGACATTTACTTGGCAGAGATAGGGGACAAGTATTCCCCTATCAGCAGACATGAAGCCTTTGATCACCAATATCATCCCTTTTCTGTCTGCTTTTTACTCTTAGACAGCATTCCACAAGCCCCCAGAGGATGGAACTGGGATAAGAACATTTTGTAGAGGGAGATGAGGTGGATATATTCTCTTTGCGCCAAATATCCTATGAGATTGAATTAATTCAAATGAATAATGTCTTAAATGTTTTGTGGATTATCAATTTGTATATTAATTTTTGCTTATATGCCATTATATGTTGATTCAAAAAAAATTACACTGCAATGAACGATATGGACATGGTTCTCTACGGTTATGCATTGTGGTTGTATTAAATGCCTTCTGGTGGAACTGCCATTTTGGGGTCTGGAGTTTCCTTCCTGGAGAACGTGAACCTGAGATTGAAGAAAATGAAGTTTGTCCTGTGGGAGAAAGACTCTGGCCTGTACAGTGTCCAGGATTAAACACCAATATTGCAAAGAGAAGTCGATTCCAGCAATGATCTCTAAAGGTTAAGGTCCCATCTGAACTGACACAGCTGTGTTGCCTGACAGATACAGAGCCTGTTTCCTCAACAAGAGTTTGTCTAACTATTCCACAGTGGAGATGCCGTGAAAGGGCAGCAGGGCTAGTACTGGCACCAGCACGTTTGTAAACACATGCAGTGAAGGAGATTCTGAATGGCAGGGCCACAAACTAGTAGTGTGAAGCATAGGAAATGCTGTGTAGAGGACAAATGGGAACATGCATGTACACATCCTTCATATCAACAAAAACCAGAAAGTCTTCCTGATGAAAAGGAAGTGCTGATAGATTTAATAGATTCCATGAGAAATTTCTGAGCCTGAATTAATATATTCAGTGCTTTGAGATTCAAATTGGGAAGATGCATTCTTTGGGTTTAGGAATTGAACAGGTTAGAGTAAAGCCCCTGAAACTATTCTACCACAGATGCTGGAACAATGGCACCTTGGTCCAGGAGATTAGAACGGGCTTGATGGAGATCTTCTGATCTTTGAAGTCACACATGAAAGATGAAGGTGGGAGGCAGAGAGCAAAAATCTAGGTTGTAGCCCTTAGAAACCGAAATCTAAGATGCAAGCTGTCAAAGTGTTTCCAGAGTAGGGGATGTTTCTTATCCTTTGCAAAGTGAGGGAACACTTTTCTTAACTACAAAAGAGGAATGGACTTTACTAAACTGAGGCTTAAGTGCCTTCTACTGAAAACAATAGTTACTCTTGCCATTAGGGCATCAAGGGTTGAAGCTAAGAGACGCTATCCATTGAAGGCTGTTCACACCAGGTGCTTTTCAGATGCAGGTACTACAATCCAGCACTTCAGCCAAAGAGTCCTCCACACATGTGTACTCCAAAAGCCAGGCTGAGGACAACCAAGTTGGATAACTACAAATCGAGGAGACCAGCTCCAGCAACAAGATAGAGTAGAGCCTTGCTTGTAGAAATATTTTTGAATACAAACAAAAAATATTGCAAGTAAAAATTAGGTTTGTCATTTACACAAAAGAGCTGAAGAAAAGATGTTCATCCTCCTAGGATACTGGCAAAAAACATGGACATGCTGGTAGGAGGAGTTTATCTTGGCTGGTCTACAGTATTTTTGCTTGCCAGTGTCCAACTCTACTGTAAGCAACAGTATAAACCAAGGGTGAGCGATTTTCTGAGCCTCTCAAAAGCCAAGAAAAAAAAAACCCATTCTGAAAACCTTTGCTTACCAACTCAGAATTCTGCAGGGTGCTATAATGTAACATGAAAGGTCTGCAGCAAAAACAAACAAACAAAAAAAAAAAAAAAAAAAAAAAAAAACCAAACCACCACACTATATGAAGACATATGAAGGAAATCCACCAAAAGTGTCCAGGGACTTCCCAAAATGATTTACATAGGGCTTGTGTACTTACCCTTGTCATTTTCCGGTTGACCATCTATGTTTATTAGATGTTCTCGCTCCACTTCTTCATTCTCTTTATTGGTTTCTTGGTCCTCAGCATCTTCTACCTTAGGTTCTTCTTCCTCCTCTGCTGCATTGAGATTGCCAGGGTTTATTTGATTTCCGGGCTCCTGTACAACATCTTTGTTGCCATCCAGCTTAGGCTTCTGAGGAGCAGCAATTTGCTTCTTTTCATTTACATTCAGTTCCAAATCATTGGTTTCTTCTGAAATAAACCAAATGACATCCTCGTCATCACAACAGATACAAGAACTGTACGGAATGCTGTAAAATATACTGGTCTGGGACTTTGGTTATAGCTTTGCTGTCTCTATTCCTGAATTGAACTCAGCTTATTTTCTGACAATTGTTTCTGACTGGCTGCACTTAGATTACAATTTATTTGACAACATAATGGTGTGAACTCTATTTCCATAAGAGATGGATCTCTTAATTGCATTCAGTCACTTTGGAAGTAGTTAAACATTTCTTTCAGTATGTGTGACAAAGTGATGACTTACGGATGGAATTTTGGATATTGACTTAACTGCTTCTTAGCAATGCTTGAAATGACTTCAGATATAAAACAGAGAATGTATTCCAAGCCTGATGGATTTCTTACAGGAAATTAATATAAAAATGAGCAGCATAGAGTTTGAAGGCCAATGACAAACAAGTAGCTGCTATGGGTTAATGCACACCACTGGATTTCAGAGACAAGTGTCGTGTTGGCTTTCTTCATCTGCAGCAGGTGAAAAACAGATAATCATTCCGCTGCTAGTATTACACATCAACTAAAAGCAAAGTTTTCCTTTTTTGAAATGAAAATAGAAAAAAACATTGTTTACATTAGGTCTTTGCCCTAGAAATCCTTAACTCCTGGATTATTAGAAACATGGTACACTTTTTTGCAACAATCAAATTTACAGTGTATTCATAAAGTATTTAGAACTCCTTCACTTTTTTCTATTATGTTATGTTGCAGCCTGATACTACAGTTGTAAAATTTATCTTTTCCCCTTTAATCTACACTTAGTACCCCATAATGACAAAGTGAAAAACAGAATTTCAGACATGTCTGAATTTATTAAAAAGAAAAAAAAAAAACAAAACAAACAATCACATATTCTTAAAGTATTCAGTACTTTGTTGAAGCACCTTTGGCAGTAATCACAGCCTTGAGTCTTTTTGGGTATGACGTGACAAGCTTTGCACAGCTGGATTGGGGGATTTTCTGGCATTCTTTGCAAATCCTCTCAAGCTCAATCATGTTGGATGGGGACCGTCGGTGGACAGTCATTTTCAGGTCTCTCCAAAGATGTTCAATAGGGTCCAAGTCAGGGTCCTGGCTGGGCCACTCTAGGACATTCACAGAGTTGTCTAAGCCACTCCTGTGTTGTCTTGGCTGTGTGCTTAGGATTGTTGTCATGTTGGAAGGTGAACTTCCGGCTCAGTCTGAGGTCCTTTTATAGAGAGGTGTGTACTGTTCCAAATCATGTCCAATCAATTTAATTTACCACAGGTGGACAACAATCAAGGTGTAGAAACATCTCAGCAACAATCAAGAGAAAAGGTAGGCATCCAAGCTCAATTTCAAGTATTGTTGCATAGGATCCGAATACATATGTCAATGTGATATTTCAGTTTTTCCTTTTTCATACACTTGCAGACATTTCTAAAATTCTGTTTTCACTTTGTCATTATGGGGCACTTTCAGCGTAGATTACTGAGAAAATAAAATGCTTTTTAAAAGAACTGTAGTATCAAGCTGCAACATAACAAAATTGAAAAAAGTGAATGGGTCTGAACACTTTATGAATGCACTGTATATGCTTTAAACACTGGCCCTTTTCTAATCCCGGGTAAAAAAAGGACTCAAACCCCATTTATTTTTGCAGTTGTTATACAAGGCATTAATATAGTACCAAAGTAGAAGGCAGATCTTTGCACAGAATATGAAACATTCAGGTTAGACTGAGGCCCTGAATTAGCTTATGATTTAAAGGATAATTTCACCATTAGTGAAGTAGTGCTTTATTAACTCTCTTACCTTTTCCCCCCATAGTGGATTTCCCATGGACAAATGCTTACCTGCAGGACCACTTTTGAGATCTTCACTGCATGGCCTTGCTGGTGCAGTATAGTCTTTCCTTAAATACAGTCACAGGCAGACCTTTCATCTGCCACACATGCACACTGTGGTTCCCATTCATTAAGATGGCCATATGTTCGTATTCCACATGGAGTACAGAGCCATCCTTAGGAATGACCAGGAACTGTTGTATGCATGCACAGAAAAAGATGACTGTGCAATGCCCTGGAGGGCAACGTAATGAAGATTCTTGTTTAATGTCCCAATTACAGACATACACTGCAGTGTCATGAGCCAATGAACCTACCAGTGTTTTTTTTTTTTTTGTTAAGAAATTGCAACTCTGAAAGGAAGCCCACAGACTATGGAGAGAACATACAAAGTCTTTGAGTACAGTGTACTTCATAGGAATTGAAGTATGCTAAAAACAACCACCCTATTGGGGATCCTTAATTCCATACCGACTCCTTCTGAAAATCACAAGTAACAATGGAATAATTAAAAAAATATATTTTGGAATTTAAAAATTATACTGTAAACCTACAGTATATATTCCTTAATCCCTTGACAGGCTTATTCTCCACCCTAGACTAGAAAAGACATACCTTTATTTTCTGGAGGATTAACATCTTTCTTGTCATCCTTGGAATGTGAAATTAATTCAGCTTTTAGATTTTTTTTGGATTTCTCTTCTTCCTTTTCATTGTCTTTTTGCTGGTTATTCTCTTGTTTTGTGGTTGGCTGGATAAATATAAAAGTTTATTATCACCCAAAAATGATTAAACAGAAAAAGGTGCACATCATTTAAGTGCAAGATTAGAGAAGTAATCGAATCTCAAAATCTGACCCCAATTCCAAAACAGTTGGGACACGGTGTAAACTCTACATAAAAAAAACAATTAATTTGCAGATCCCATAAACCCATATTTTATTCACAATTGAAATTAAAAAACATATCAAATGTTTAGGGAAAAAAGAAGGTACATTTTAAAATTGATGGCAGCAGCAAGTCTCAAAAAAGTTGGGAAAGAGCAACAAAAAGCTGGCAAACTAAGTGGCACTAACAAGGATGAGCTGGAAGAACAATTTTGCAACTAATTAGGTTAATTGGCAACAGGCCAGTAACAAGATTGGGTATAAATAGAGCATCTTAGAGAGTCAGAGTGTCTCAAAATTAAAGATGGGCAGAAGCTCACCAATCTGTGAAAGCTGCGTCTATAAAATGTAAACAATTTCAGAATAATGTTATTCAATTTAGAATTGCAAAGACTTTAAATTTATCACCATCACAGAATATCAAAAAGGACTCTAAGAATCTGGAGACATCTCTGTGTGTAAGGGACAAGGCTGAAATAAAATATTGGACGGTTATCTTTGGGCCCCCAGATGTCACTGCATTAAAAACCGGTATGATTCTGTGATGGAAATCACTGCAAAGGTTCAGGAATACTTCCAAAAGTCACTGTCTGAACACAGCTCGCTGTGCCATCCAAGCTTGCAAGTTAAAGCTCGATCATGCAAAGAAGAAGCCACATCTGAATATGATCCAGAAGGGCCACTGCCTTCTTTGGAACAGCCTATTTTAAAATGAGCTTTGCCCCAAAGTATAAAACTGTTCTGTGGTCAGGTGAATCAAAATTTGACATTTTTGGCAACTATACGCGCTGCGCCCTCCAGACTAAAGAGGAGAGGGACCTTCCAGCTTGTTATCAGTGCTTAGCTCAAAAGCCTACATTTCTGATGGTATGGGGATGCATGTGGAAAGACACCATCAATGCTGAAAGATAAATCCAGGTTTTACAGCATCATATGCTCCCATCTAGACTTCTTTTCAGGGAAGGCCCTGCATATTTCTGCAGCAAAATGCTAAACAGCATACTACATCTATGACAACAGCATGGCTTTGTTGTAGAAAAGTCCAGGTGCTTAACCCCATAAACAACACAGAACAACATACATGAAGCATCCAGGAAATGGGCTTTAAACCTGGGTGCCGTATATATGCGTTTTTGTGTGCACTCCCAGCACAGAGACCAGGCTCCAAATTTTTCAGGCTAAGAACAAGTTCAGCAAGTACAGAAAATACCTGTTGATCTTGCCAGAAATGCAGTGTCCATGTCTGTCAAGAAAAGTCCAGGTGCTTAATTCCATAAGGACAATGTAACACATATATGCAGCATCCAGGAGGTGGGCTTTAAACCTGGATAACGCATATATGTGTTCGTGCTGGGAGCACGTTGCACAGCAACCAGACTCTCACTGAGAGCTCCGGGTCTCGTACCAACAATTGTGAACTGGGACTCCCATTCCCAGTAACTCAACTGCTGTGATAGCTTCTGATTGGCTATCACAGTGATCAGTCATTGTGCAGCCTTCCCATGTGTTTTCTTGCTCTTCTGAATAGAGAGAGATACATTGTATCTTTCTCTCCTGGCAGGGGAGAAAAATGTAAAACTGTGTATAAAATACATAAAATTAAAAAATAAAGAAAAAAATTGCTAGATAAAGCTTGATCTAGTTCAGTGCCAGGATTAGGGTCAAGGTAAGGGTCAAAGACCAGGGGCAGTATATATTTTTTTTTAGTTAAGATTTTACACAAACTATTTTTTTTAAATTTGTGTTAGTGTCAGAATATTTTAGGTAGGATAAGAAAAAAGAAAAAAGAAAAAAATGCACTAGCCCCTACTTCTGTACATACAACAAATAACATGGACATATGTGGTATCGCTGTGTAAATACAGATAAAATAAAAACATGATTTTGATTCTACTATTGTTAACCAGTTTTCTTATAACAATAAAAAATAAAAAATTACTTTATTAAAAAAAAAACAAAAATCTCCTGGGTGGGGTTGGAGGGGCCTAAACATGGCGCTGCGAGACGGCCTACTGCAGGAGCCCCAGACGCCTGCCACATGGAAGCTGCCTAGACTTCTCCGGATCTTACCCCCAGATCTTAACAGAGGACCCGACCGGGACGGAGCGGTGTTCCCGCAATGTCTCTGGAGAGTGGAGGACTGTGCTGCAGTGGACCAGGGCTGAGCTCCTGGAGGGGCCGGTGTTTGGCGACGGAGGGGCCGGTGTTTGGCGACGGAGGTGACTGGTGGAGCGAAGGAGGGCGCTGAGGACAGGTGGACGGTGGTGGCGCATGACGAGATCAAGGATAGAGAATAGAAAGAGGGATGCCAGGATTGCCCATCTGCATGTGCATGTTTTGTGATGGCAGTCGGACATCCTAATGGCCCGGGAAAAGCACCACACTTTGAAGACCATGAGACACCCTAAAGCACAGGACATCTCAAGCTCCCGCCCAGACCCCCTCAGGTGATCCTGTCAATCTGGACTTGAGATTTTGACGGGGATGGCCAAAGGAGGCCAAACATGAATTAAACTCTAGAACCCTTATGCTGTGAGCCGTGGGCCAGAGTAGATGTGCATTTTTAGAGTCATACTCCAAAATAGGAATCATCAGTGGGGGAATCCCACGTCAGATTCCAGGGCAATACGTAGGCCAGTGCAAGTCCTCATGCACACTGGACATTTTGAGAACGTTGGTAACATTAGCTGTGTAAAGTAACATTAAAAACATGAGTTTTTTCAGCTTTTTTAGCATTTATCTGTGTTTGCGTTTTTTTACCCCAAAAAAAAAAAATATATATATTTCTTTTTGGTAAAAAAAAAAAAAAGTTTCACAAACGCCAGTTTGTGGCGTTTTTCAGCTTTAGAGTGTTTTTACAACTTAAAAAACCCCTCTAGAAACCTACTAGTCCTGGGGTTTTTTTCCAGCCAAAAAAACGTTGATTACAGTCTGTGTGTGCATGGACACATAAGATAACATGCTGAGGGGAGTTCACTAGCTGTAGGAAAAAAAAAAAAAAAGTCAAAAGCCAAAAACAGCAGCTGTAAAAACGTCAAGTGTTCATGAGGAATGGATGAAAATATTAGCACGTTGACACACACACAATGGGATGCAATGCACAAGCAAATGGATTGGAAGCATAATTCATGGTTGATCCCCCTGGTGGGAATGGAATTTTTCCCACCAGGGAAAGATAATATTTTCGGGAAGTGGTTTAAAGATAGAGATGTACATTTAAAAATGATATATTAGATAAGGGGAAGTTGCACACTTTTCAAGATTTAAATAATAAAGAAGATTTATTTTTTTATATGTTGAGTTCAAATATAGCTCAAAAACATGCCACCTCTAGGATCTATAAGATCCTTATTGAACTGATGGGATCCGATTCTCCATTCTTAGAGAAATGGGAAAGGGAATTGGGAACAAAAATGAACCAGCAACAGAAAGACAAGATATTTAAATTAACACATGGTGTGAAATCTCGCTAAACATTTTGTAATGAATTTCAACTGTTCACCCCAAGTGTGGCACATAGACAAAGAGCAGAAGTTTCACCATTATCTTGGAGGGAGTGTGGGTTTAAGGGAACAATGGTACATAGATGGTGGGATTGTCCTAAAATACAGGTGTTCTGGCAAGAAATAATCCATATATACAGGAGATATTGGCGATCACTGTACAGAAGGATCTGTGGGTGTGTATTTTATAGGTCAGAGATCTCAGTGAAACAATACAAAAACAGTGTACTATACCATCTAATTAACTAGTGTGGGGCAAAGGACTCATTCCCAAATTTTGGCAGGTACATGAGTCCCCAACAATGAAGGATTGGATAGATAGGATCGAGTATAAATAAGATGGAGGAGTTATACCATACAGAGGAAGATAAAATGGAAAAATGTAAAAAATAAGTAGGGTAGATGGTATGACTTTAAAAATATCTATAAAAAATTTGGGAGTGGTTGTCCCAGGTAGTCTGAGGAAGAAGAACTTAACTGAACAACTGGAGGGTCATATATGAAGATAAGAGAAAGGAGAGAGGGAGAAGAGAAAACATAGGGAGGAGAGAAAGAGAGAAGAAAGAGAAAAAGGAAGGGAAGAAACAGAGTATAAAGGAAAGAAAAAAAAAAAAAAAAAGAAAAAAGAAGGATATAGACAGACAGGTAAATATGGAAGGAAATTGATGCAAAGAATTATATGGACAGGAGGGTTATTCAAAGGGGAGGATGGGATAATGGTGGGAGGGGAGGAGAACAGATAATTTATGTGAAATGTCTATTTTTTGATAAATTTTATATAATGTCGATTTATGCATTGAAAAAAAAATTATAAAAAGATATAAAATTAAAATAAAAAAAAAAAAAAAAAAAAAAAAAAAAAAAAAGGAAAATGCACACATACAAGAAATAACACACACATGTGGTATCAGTCTAAAAACAAATGAATAATCCAGAGATCCGCCAGTGTAGAGAATAGCGGTCCAAAATAGTAGGATTATGCACTTACCAGATGCGCATCAAATATGCACATGTAAAAAAATTCCTCCTTGGGGACTAATGATAATGATGTGTGATGGTAATCAGTAGAACATCCGTCTAGGAATGGGCCGTTCTGCGGTCAGTGGAAGATGTCTGCTTGGCTCCAGAGGTCTCCTTTACGGTCAGTCACCTGTTTACAGGGATTCCCTTCCTCTGGATACTCGTTCAGACTGGTATTCCTCACAGGCTCTGCAGGCTTAAAGGCTCCATAAAGAAGCCATAAAGATTGTGCCCATAGTGTAGTAATTTATAAATTCACTTAGTTTTATTCAAAACAATATTCAGTAATACATGTAGACCAATTATCATGTACTGTCTCAGTCATCAGTACTAACTATTTTCTGGCCTCAGGAGATCAACTAGCTGTGACGTCAAGCCGCCGGAGCCACGAGCTGGTCCGGCAGCCATCTTTGGAATGGTCAGTGTACCTGTCACCCTTTTATTACGGAATATCGTTTTGAATAAAACTAAGTGAATTTATAAATTACTACACTATGGGCACAATCTTTATGGCTTCTTTATGGAGCCTTTAAGCCTGCAGAGCCTGTGAGGAATACCAGTATGAACGAGTATCCAGAGGAAGGGAATCCACCGACATCTTCCACCGACCGCAGAGCTGCCCATTCCTAGAAGGATGTTCTACTGATTACCATCACACATCATTAGTCCCTAAGGAGGAGTTTTTTACATGCGCATATTCGATGCGCATCTGGTAAGCGCATAATCTTACCATTTGTGACAGCTATTCTCTACACTGGCGGATTTCTGGATTATTCATTTGTTTTTAGACTGATTCCACTGCCCTATTTTAAGCGCTGCACTTTTTATTTCTCATTATAATTTCTGAGGTTTCTTTTTGTTGCCTGAGTGTACTAACTGCTAAACAGGAGAGCGCCCACTACTGTCATATATATATATATATATATATATATATATATATATATATATACACACACACACACACACACACACACACACACACACACACACACACACACACACACACACACACACACACACACACACACACACACACACACACACACACACACACGTGGTATCACTTTGGGTTGTTCTTTGGTCATAGGTTATGGTAAGAAATGTACAGCTAAATACAGATAAAAAAAAAATTCATGTTTTTATTTTACGATTGTTAACCAGTTTTTGTTTTTTCAATAAAGGAATTTTTATTTTTTATCATCAAAAGAAAAACGATGTCCCCAGGAGTAGATCCAGTGTCAATCATGATGAATGCTGCCAAACCGAGGGGGGGAGAGAGGAGAAACAAACACCATAGGTCCACACCCAATCGCTGGCTCCCAGCATCTGCCAGTTCTTAAATAGCTAAGGGGCGGGGTCAGCCAGTTACATTATGGTATGGCCCTGCGCACTTGGCCATTTGTGACATTTTTGTGAAATCCTTGTAACATCATCTACCCAGCATTTGTAAAAGATGACGGTGACTGCCGGCTCCAAAAATTAGCATTTGAACCATATCTGGAAATCGCAGCTGAACCGCTGCACAGCTGCTCTAGAAATTTGCTGTGAAAATGGATGGGAAATTCACACAGGACATGTGTGAACCTAGCCTAATGCTGCTGTGCTCAGGCAGCCTTAAGAGCCTTGTCTCACTTAAGTGGGCCTCATGTCTAAGTTTTGCCTAAGGCTTCAAAAAGCCTAGAACCTCCTCCGATCTCACCTAAGGTCTGGAAAGCTGCAATATAATACATTTTTGTTTTTGGGTTAGATGAGCTAGAAGATGGATTACTATAGTGGTTTGGGCTTGGGCCCTTTTTTGCCCTCTCCCGACAAGCTCTCATGTGGCAAATACTGGACTAGATTTCCTACCTTTAGTTTTTCAGTCTCAATGATAGTTTTTTCTGCATCTGCATTCAGAGCATTTTCATCTTTCACACCTGCTATCCGAAGCCGCTCTTCACATTGCTCCTTCACTTCTGTTATCTTACTGCTGCACTGTGACCTAAGAACAGAAAATGAGCTTACAGATTAGAAATGTCACAATGTCAGAGAGTGGAAGAAACAGATTTCTAAGTTAACCCTTGTAGGGGTTTCAAGAAGTGCAATGTTTAATACTGAACTCTACTTTATCAACTGCCAAAACATATTTTAATGCCCCCTTACATACACCCAGTGAAGTGACTACCCCCAGGTGATAAACAAAGGTGAAAAATCATCCTACATAAGTTGAACCTGTTTCTCTGTAGCCATTTCTTCTGTAGGTCATTCTAAAAACACACAGATCAAAAGGAAGATTTCTCAGCTTTAGCAGCATGGGAAAGGGATCAGATGACAGACACAGACACACACACACACACCTCCTTGATATCGGACAGCTGATTGGAGGAAAAAAAGGGACAAACTTCCCTCTACACAAGCTTACAGGCTCATAGAAAAATACACAGAGCTAAGGCTATTAGTCACCTGCTGTGTGCTGTAGTGGGCGGGCCATTTCCTGGGAGGCTGTTGTATGGGGGGAAAACTGTCAGGAGTGACTCACGTAGATATCAAAAGAGAGGAGACATGGAGAGGAGCCACAAGCTCCTACACACTATAGTGGGTTTTGCATTGTTAATTTTTTTTAGGTCTAAAAGGTTTACAACAACTTTAAAAAGGGAGGAGAAAGAGTCCAATCACAGCGATCACATGACCAGAAAACTTGGCTGCCATTCATACAGCCATTGATAACTACTGCAATCTTTGAAAAGATCTTTGAAAACGCACTTATTCAGGGAAGTCTATCCCACCTTCACCTAAGAACTGTACTTGAGTCACCTCCATCAGAGATCATCCCCTTCCTTTAGATTGTAAGCTCCACAAGCAGGGCCCTCCTATTCCTTCTGTACTGGAATGTATTGTAATTGTACGGTCTCCCTTATATTGTAAAGCGCTGCGCAAACTGTTGGCGCTATATAAATCCTGTATAATAATAATAAAATTGCCATTTTATGTGATAGACCAACACAAAAGTGGCACATAATTGTGAAGTAGAAGGAAGAATGATAAATGTTTTTCAAAATTTTTTACAAAGAAATATCTGAAAAAAGTGTGGCGTGCATTTGTATTCAGCCCCCAATGAGTCGATACATTGTAGAACCACCTTTCGCTGCAAGTCTTTTTGGGGATGTCTCTACCAGCTTTGCACATCTAGAAAGTGCACATTTTCTGCACATTGTTCTTTGCAAAATGGCTCAAGCTCTGTCAGATTGGATGGAGAATGTCTGAACATCTCCATCTGAAAAAAAAAAAAAAAAAAATCTATCTATATATCTCTATCTATATCTATCTATCTATCTATCTATCTATCTATCTATCTATCTATTATATAGTACACCCCAACAAATTTAGAAGAAAACCTTTACTTTCAGAATCATTTTCTATGGTACACTATACTACAAATTACTCCGACAAAGGCGGGCCATTGATTGCAAATACGATTTGTTAATTTGCACACACAAAGTGTTTTTCCTAAAAAATTCATTCAAGGGCATGTTGCAAAAATGAATACACCCCAATGAAAGTCTTAAGAGCAAAGCTAAATTTTATACAACAGAATCCTAACTAACAAGAATTCACCTACAGGTGAGTCTAATTATTCATTAAACAAGTGTCTAGCAGACAGTTGATTATAAAAAGGGAGTTACTTAAAGGAAACCCCTTCCCATTTCATGTGGTATGCAATAGCACCACATGGAAGAGAAAAGTCACAAAGCCTGAGAAAGAAAATAATAATTTCTTTAAACAAGAAAGGTGAAGGCCACAAGAAGATCAGCAAATACGTCAGAATACTGTAGCAAAAAGTGATACAAAAATTTAACAAAGATGGAACTGTAACAATCTCACAGAGATGTCCAGGCCAGCCACAGAAGTTAACACCTCAAAAGAAGCATCTTCTGATGAGAATGGTTGAGGAAATCTTCATTCAAGTTCACTGCAGTTAGCTTAAGTAGAAAGCCAAACTAGGTTGATTGTTTACAGTGATACATTGTACAGCGTACGCTGCAGAGGAATGGCATACATGGGTGTCATCCACGAAGGAAGCCTTTCCTAAAGCCTATGCACAAAAAAGCCCTCCTAGAATTTGTCAGGGCCCATGCTGAAAAAGAAGACCACTGGGACGCTGTACTCTGAAGTGATGAGACCAAGATAAATATTTTTGGAATGGATTGCTTAAAAAAACAAAAAAAACAAACTGTATGGCGTCACAAAGGTGAAGAGTGCAAAGAAAAATGCATGGTGCCTACAGTGAAACATGATGGTGGCAGTGTCCTCCTGTGGGGCTGCATGAGTGCTGCTGCATCAGGGAGCTGCATTTCATTGATGTTGTCATGAATTCACGGATGTACTGCTCTATATTTAAAACAAAAGATGCTATCATCATTCCGTGCCCTTGGTCGTCATGCACTTTTCCAACAGGACAATGATCTGAAACACACATCTAAGACTACTGTTGCATTTCTGAAGAAGAACAGGGTGAAAGTGATTCAGTGGCCAAGTATGCATTCTGATCTGAACCCAATTGAAGACCTATGAGGAATTCTGAAGAGACAAGTTGAGCATCACTCTCCATCCAGCATCTGGGCTCTAAAAGGAAGTTGTTCTTGAAGAATGGAAAAAGATCGATGTTGCAATATGTCACCAACTAGTTCATTCCATGCCTAGAAGCCTTGGTGCTGTCCTTACAAATCATGGAGGTCATACAAAATACTAGATGGAGCAGTTTTTGTTGTGGGGTGTATTCATTTTTGCATCAACGAATTTAATTAAAACTGAAGAATTTGTAATCTTCTATATCTTACTTTCATGTAATGAGGTAAACAAATGTATAAAAAAAAAAAACAAAAAAAAAAAAAAAAAAAAAAAAACTTTGTTTTGTCAAAATTTTGGAAGTTCTTGTGTTCACTGAGATATTGATTCAAATTTTACTTTCAAAAGGGGTGTACTCATCTATGCGGAGCATAGAGGACGTCGTGGTGACGAAACGCGTAGGGCGTGGCCAGCTGAATGCAGACGTTGTGACACCTCTCCTATGTCGGTCGGAGATGATCCACGGTGAGCGGTGCCAGTGATTGTATAACTATGATGCTGGTGTCGGTTTAGACAACTTGTTTGTAAGTGTGTTATCTTATTAAATTGTGTTTGGTTTTAAAAAACACGCTGCACTATTATTCCTCTCTCTTTGCCTTTGAACATGGTCCCAATGCCTATGGAGAACCGTATATCCCTCTAGGAGAGAGGTTGTGGAGAGTTGTTTCATGTTTATCTGGAATCAATCTTTAAACACAGAGTGGCATTTTTCATCCTAAGGGATTTAATACTGCAGAATATTGCATCCTATATCCGGAATTGGAATATCCATCGCTCCCAGAGCAATAGCGCTTATGCTGGTCTATGATTTGATCAGCATATAGCTCTGGTGAGTCACCCAACTTTATTTGGTGGTGGAGTGCACATGGTGGTTGTAAATTTGTATTGTGGGACTTTAGACTTTCACAGATTGAATATTTGAACACTTTATGATCTATTTAATTATTTATATGTGAAATGTTTTATTTGATCTTACACTGATTTATGCACAGTTTATTGAAGTTTTGTTGTTTTCAGCGCATTCCTATAGTTAAAAGCATTTTGACCAAGATTATTTATTCATTTTGGGGTTTTGGAATTGCTGCTATATTAATTAAGGGTGTGGTGCTTTTCTAAACAACCTTTTACTGTTTATTAACAAGGTTTCTGTCTGTTGCCTTGACGGATCTTTTGCCTGTTTGCTGACCAAGTCTCTGCCTGAGCCCGCCTGAACTGACTGATCTGCACATGCAACTGAGCAGGTTCCTGTGAGACACCAGTCCCGGCCATCCTCTGCCAACAACTGCACTCCTGGAACCACAAGGATTCTTTAGTTCTTCCTTTCTTTAGCCTCCTGTACTTCCTGCCTCAGTGAACATGACATCTTGGGGGCAGCCATGTGTCAGAAGGCTAGGCTTGCTTGGCTACACAAAGCTATATTCCCTGACCACTGATATGGAGGCGACCATTACAGCACATTCGTTTTTATACAATTGGTTAAATTGTGTGATACACAAGATACAATGTACAGTAAATCGTACAAAAAATTTACAAAAATCTCATACCTGTGGTATCGCCATACTCAGGAGTAGTGATATATTTTGGGGGGATTATAATTCTAAGTATGCCCATGGTGCATGTGAGAAATATCTTATTAAACTGACAACTTTGTGCAAAAAAAAAAAAAAAATGAAATATATAATCTGTTACTTTTCATCCTGATAAAAAAAAAAAAAATAAATTATATATATATATATATATATATATATATATATATATATATATATATATATATACACACACACACACACACACATATATACAGTGGGGATCGAAAGTTTGGGCACCCCAGCTAAAAATTTGTATTAATGTGCATAAAGAAGCCAAGTAAAGATGGAAAAATCTCCAAAAGGCATCAAATTACAGATTAGACATTCTTATAATATGTCAACAAAAGTTAGATTTTATTTCCATCATTTACACTTTCAAAATAACAGAAAACAAAAAAATGGCGTCTGCAAAAGTTTGGGCACCCTGCAGAATTTATAGCATGCACTGCCCCCTTTGCCAAGCTGAGACCTGCCAGTGTCATGGATTGTTCTCAATCATCGTCTGGGAAGACCAGGTGATGTCAATCTCAAAGGTTTTAAATGCCCAGACTCATCTGACCTTGCCCCAACAATCAGCACCATGGGTTCTTCTAAGCAGTTGTCTAGAAAACTGAAACTGAAAATAGTTGACGCTCACAAAGCTGGAGAAGGCTATAAGAAGATAGCAAAGCATTTTCAGATGTCAATATCCTCTGTTCGGAATGTAAATAAGAAATGGCAGTCATCAGGAACAGTGGAAGTTAAATCAAGATCTGGAAGACCAAGAAAAATATCAGACAGAACAGCT